TCCACCCCCCACTCCCAACGTTGCTATCTCTAGTCAATGCCAAAGTTAACATGACTAATCTTAACATCCTTCAAAGGGGTAAAGAAACCTGGGGGGCCAAGAAAGAGAATAAACCAGTGGCTCTGCTTCCTAATTGGACTTAGAGTTAGCTCCCTCATATTTTAGTGTTAATAATTGCTGGCCTTTAACTTCACTAAGTTGGAGCATGTGGTATAGTGGAAAGAACACCAGATCTGGAGCCAGAAGAAATGAGTTTGAAATCAGACTCTGTTACTTATTAGCAATACGATCATAGGTCAGTTTTTCCTTCTCTGAGACTCAGTTTTCTCATCTGGAAAAAATGAGTGGTTGTTCCCAATGGTCTTGAAGATCTCTTCCAGGTCCAACATTGAGTGACTCTGGTGCTGGTCATCACCACCCATTACCATTGGCTTCTTCAGGTTTTAACATTAGCTAGACTTTTTTTTAAGGCCTACTGCACTGAGTGATGTTCACATCAACTAAGGCTTGGATGTTAGCCAGGACACATGCGGATCTCAAGACAATCCTCTTTATTTATAGCGCCCCTTTCCTCTGAGGCACTCAGAAGTTTGCACACATCAAGATGGGAAACTTGAAGCCCAGGAAAAGGTTGCTATTGACCTAGGAGAGTAAAAAGGAGGCTCAGCTACCATTTCTGATCACTGAGAGGTTGGAGAGAGGCAGCAATCTAAGTGGTGGTCAGGGTGATACAGGGCTTCAGAGGGTCCTTAAACAAGACCATGTCTGATAGGTTTCTTGCCTCATCTTTCTTTTCTAATTAGAGCCACAAAGCCAGCCCTTCCTAGGGTGGAGATCAGTTGAGGGAGGGAGGGAGGGAAAAGGATTAATTTTCCACCTTGTGTAAGGAATTTGACATAATCCAGGCAGTTGCTAAGAGCTGGGTGAAAGTTGTCAAGTATGCCCTGGACTGGTTACTCAGGCCTTGGGGAACTTGGAGCCAAATCCTTCCTATCAGTATCATGTCCTCCATGAGGTGGAAAAGGGCCTGACCAAACCTTTATTCTCTCTGCACCTCAGATTCCCTGGCTGTGAAGGGGAGTCAGCCCATTTTTTGGCAGAGCAAAGGAGACAGAGGGAATAAGCATTTATATAGCTCCTGTTATGTGCCAGGAGCTGTGCTAAGCACTTTTTACAAATATTGTCTCATTTGATCTTCGTAACAACCCTGCAAGATAGGTGGCTGTTATCCGCATTTTACAGGTAAGAAAACTGAGGCAAACAGAGCTTAAATGACTTGCCTGGGGTCACACAGAACTCAGGTCTTCTTGGGAAGGAGGCAGAAATATCACACCCTACCCCTTGTGCCAGACACTCAAAACATTGATCAAATATTTATCAAGCTCCTACTATGAACAAGGCACTGTGCTAGGCACCAGGAATACCCTAGGGATCAGTGCCCAGCCCTATGCTTTTTTAACATTTTTTTATCAATAGCTTGAATGAAAAAGGCCTAGCTGGCAGGCAAGCTTAGCAAGTTTGCACATGACACAAAGCTGAGAGGGATAGCTAATGCACTGGATGGCAGGGCTAGGCTCTAAAAGGCTTTGGACAGTCTGGAGAATTGGTGTGAATTTAGTGAGATGAAATTCAGCAGGGATAAATGTAAATAAAGTCTTATACTTGGGTACATGTACAAGGAAGTCCTTGTACCTAAGTACAGGATAGGAAGAGGCATGGTTAGACATATGAAAAAGATCTGGGGTGGGGGCAGGGGGGCAGTTCTAGTGGACTGTCAGCTCAATGTGAGTCAGCCATGTGTTGTACAAGTTGAAAAAATCCTAATTAGATCTTGGGCTGCATTGAGTGAGGCCTAACTTCCAGGAAGAGGTGACAGTCTGCCCTCACCAGACTTCAGTTCTGGGCTTCTTAATTAATTAATTAGTTAATTTTTGTTTCTTTTTGCTTGGCAGAGGGGTTAAGTGACTTGCCCAAAGTCACATAGTAAGTGTCAAGTGTCTGAAATCACATTTGAACTCAGGTCCTTCTGACTCTGGGGCTGGTACTCTATCCACTGTACCACCTAGCTGCCACCTAGTTGTCCCCTATTTTGTCTTATACTTTTCACTAGACTAGCGAGCTGGCTGCTGAAGTCACTTCCAGTTCTCAAAATCTGTGATTCTGGGGAAACAAAGACAAAACCAAAACCAGTCCCTGTCCTTAAGGAGCTTACATTTTACTGGAGGGAAAAGGGATCCATACTGAATGAATGAATGAAGAATTAAGCATTCATTAAATGCTGTGCTAGGGATACAAATGGAAAACATACTGTCCTCGCTCCCAAGGGGCTCATGTTACAATTGGAGAATTTACCATATACAGAAGGGTTCAGCTGCAGGATGGAGAGAAAGGTCTTAGGGTACAGTGGAAGGTCAGATAGCAAAATCAAGGGATTTTTAAGGTGCTTCTGTAGGGCAGATGGCAATGCTAAGGGGGAAGGGAGGGATGGGTCTGGAGGGTATAGCAGCAAGGCAGGTGCTAAGGCTTGTTTTTCATTCACCTTACTGTAAATAAATACAAAGCATACACAAAGTAATTTATTTTTTTAATTTTTTCATACAAAAATTAACCTTCCCTCCCTAGTGAGAAAAACAAAATCCCATGTTACAAACATGAATAGTCAAACAAAAGAAATTTCTATATTGGCCATGTCAAAAAAAAAAAGATACTTCAACCTGCACTCTGAGTCTATCACCTCTTAGGAGGTGGGTAGCCAGTTTCATTTCAGTCTTTTGGAATTATGGTTGACCATTGTGTTGATCAGAGTGTCTAAGCTTTCCAAAGTTGATTGTCTTAACAATATTGTGATATAAAAAAAATTGTTCTCCTAGTTCTGCTCACTTCACTCTGCATCATAACAAGTCTTCCCAGGGTTCTCTGAATAGTGCAGTAGTATTCCTCCTTTACATCCATATACGATAATTTATTCAGCCATTTACCAATTAATGGGGACCCCTAACAAAACAGTTTCAAGAGGGAAAGAGTGATAATGATGGGGGAAGGCAAGAGATTAGGAAAAATATCATGTAGGTAGAGCTGCATTTAGAAGGAGATAAGAGGTGAGGAGGGAGCATATTCAAGACACAGGGGATGGGGCAGCTAGGTGGCATAGTGTCTAGAGCACCAGCCCTGGAATCAAGAGGACCTGAGTTCAGATTCAGCCTCAGCCACTTACCAGCTGTGTGACCCTGGGCAAGACATGGCGGGGGGAGGGGGTGACTTGTATCAAGTCCCAGAAGCAGAATAGAACATTGTGAACAAGACACATCTAGAAGGGACAAATTCAACTAGAATAGAGAGAGTGGTGAGAGATGAAGCTTCCATGGTAGGCAAGAACCAGACTGTAGAGGCTAAGCAAGGCTGAGGATTGTTTGGTCTGTGGGCAACCGACTGTTAAGTATTTAGGAGCCCTGGTGGTGGGGGGGGGGGCAGGGGGGAATTGAGGAAAGGAGAGTCAGCAGGGTTCTGCCTGGGTATTTTGCACTCTAAAGTACTGTATTCCTAGGTTCTCCTTGGGACTAGTACTTATCATTCTCAGTACCTATTCCCAGGTAGCCCACAGTGCTAGGGATATTCTTCACCCATTCTATTCTCCAGAAGCTGCACATCTGTGTGAGTTGCAGATTATTTGACAATAGCCCATGAATTCTTTGGGATCACTGGATTTGAAATCAAGAGGAACTAGGTTCAAATTCCAGTTCTGCTACTTATTACCTGGGTGACCTTGGGCTAATTATTTTACCTTCCTGGGTCTTAGTGTCTTCTATAAAGTGAGAAGATTGGGCCAAATCGTCACAAAGAACCCTTCCAACTCTGGTTTGGAATAAGCTTTAATCCTGACCCCATGAGCTGGCCACCATGGCACATCCCTGAATTTAACCAATTACTGGGAGGATCAACAAGATAAAATGTGCAATGTGTTTAGCCTGCCACATGGTAAATGCTTTAACAAATGTGTGTTTCCCTCTTTCATGCTTCTTTGTATCATCATGTTTGTCTGAGAGGCAGCTAGATGGTGCAGAGCAGAGAGGGCTGGTCCAGGAGTCTGGAAGACCTGAATTTAAGTTCAGCTTCAGATGCTTACTAGCTGTGTGACCCTGGGCAAGTCACTTAATTTCTGTTTGCCTCAGTTTCCTCAATTCTAAAATAGGGATAGTAACAGTACCTACCTTGCAAGGTTGTTGTGAGAATCAAATGAGATAATATTTGTAAAAAGTGGTTGGCATGTAGTGGACACTCTATAATGCTAATTCCCTTTCCTGTTAGCTTGGGAGGGTTAGGATGGCAGAACTTTTAAGTTCAGAAGGCTCTGCAGTGGGCTGTGCTGAGCCTGTTATACCACTACGGTGAGACCCTGAAATCAGGCCCACCAGGTTGTTTAAGAAGGGGCAGATCAGCAGTTCAAAGCTGTTTCTGTGCTGATCAGTAGTGGCCTCTGCACTTACTGCCTGGTCAAGATGGGGAGATTTAGTCTTCTTTTAAAAAAGATTAGTAACAATGACCACAAGCACGTCACTGGGCCTGTTGTCTGATCTCTGCCTCGTAATGTCTCTCCTTACGGGCCAAGATATTTCTGGTTAGGGTCTATATCCTGGGGCTACTAGGCCAACTAGAGTAGGAGGGTGGGGGCCATTTGTAGCTACCCCAGACTGTGGCAACGGCTAGTGAATACTTTGCCAAGGCTCTTGATGAATAGAACCCAGCATCAGAGGAACCCAACCAGAGGCCCTCTGATGTCATTCAATCATAGTCAGCCTCTGGGTAGAACTATTTCATTAAATGCTCCTAGATGGAAAACAAGAGAGTCAGGCAGTGTAGTGTGTAATTGTCACCCAGTTCTGTTGTATTTACTTTTCCATTAATTCCTTGATGGGATTTCTGGTGCTCTAGTCACTTGGGCGATATGTAAGCATGGACTAAATGTACTGACTAAGGAGCTGTTTTTCCCCTTACCCTAACAGCCTGGCCCCAAAGCTTGTGTTCAACAGAGTGAATGGCAGGAGGCCACTGGCCACTACTCAGTCCATCACGGCCACAGAGGAGAGTTATACACTTGCTCACGAGGAGAATGTCCGCTTTGTCTACGAAGGTAAGAAGCCCCAGACTATCTCTGGGGACCTATAGAGATAGAAAGGTGAGAGTTGCATCCACTTTCATGGGTGTAGAATGTCACAGCTGCAGGGGAAAATAAAACATAGGCTATCACAGCTGGAAGAGACCTTAGAAAACATCCCCTTTGTTTCACAGAGGAGAAAACGGGCCTAGGGAGGGAAAATGACTTGCAGGGCCAACCCCTATTTACTCAACCTATGTGCTGCCCCTTCCTCTACTGCATTTACATTTTTCACTGGGTTTATCTCAGATCAATGATAAAAATAAACCTGTGCTCTTTGAATTCGATCTATTAATGAAGACACGTGTGTTAGGAAGCATGTTAGGAGGCAGAAGGAAGGCTAAGCTAGGCAAAGATGAATCATGTGCCATGTGGATATGGCCCAAGAGCTGCTCTTTGTTGCTGGTGGTATATTAAAGGAGCATGTCATGTTCATAACAGTGCAGGAATCACGCCTCTGTGGGTCATTCTGCTCCGTCCCCTTCTCTACCCATGCTTACTTGGGTTGGGCAAAGGCTGGGAGTGCTCCTTGACTGGGTGGCATCTCCAGCCCTCATGTTTCTATCTTTCTTGCAGCTTGGCAGCAGGTAGAGCAGCAGCTGGTGGGGAGCCAGGCAGGTGAGAGTGGGCCCAGGCCTGTGCAGTATGTGGAGAAGACACCTAACCCCGGGTTGCAAAGTAAGTGGCCTCTGCTCTCAGTATTCCCCACCTTGGCCCCCATGGTGACAAAACCAACCCTGAGTCTCAAGATAGTCTAGGTGGAACTCAAGGCCACAAGGGGATTGTAGGTGCCATCATCAGGCCCCAAATTATGAGTCTTCTGTGGCCCAGCTTTCTCCATGTGGGAGGTACTGGTGGCTGTGGCCTTAGCCCAAGCAGGCAGGGTAGACCACGGCTGTAAGCAGGAATGAGAGGCCAGGCCACCTGAGCTTCTTATAGCCCCATCTGGTAGAACGAGCTGGGAAAGGACAAGAGTTTGGCTAGACTGTCTGCCCCAGGATTCACTTGGCAGCAGATTCGAACTCCCTTCAAGCCCTTTTCAGGGTATTGCTCAACACTGTGCACCTGTTAGTCAAGGACATGCCTGAAGTAAAATTTCTTTCAGCTCTGCCTGTTTTCTTTCCAGCTTGAGGCCACTAGTCATGCTTCATTATGTGTCTCAGTTCAAGATTTATGAGCAATTTATTCATTGGAAAGGTCTTATCTTGTCCCCCTCATTTGAATGGAAGTGAAACCTTGCCCAGAATAGTCATAATAATAATAATAATAGCAGTATCCATTTCTATCATGCTTACAAGGGGCTTTCATCATCAGAACCCCGTAAGGAATCATTATCCAAATTTTAAGGATGAGGAAGCTGAGGTCCAGAGAAATGAAGTGATTTGCCATATAGCTAAGATATATATAGATAGATAGATAGATATAGATATATGAGTCAAGACTTAAATTGAGATCTTTATACCATAGTGAATAAAAGAGAAGCAGAGATGTACCCAAGATCCCCTTAGTGAGGCAGGAGCCAGGCTGGGATGAAATTTAAGAGCCTGGAAGCTAGACTGAGTATTGATTCTCAGATGTGTATTCTCTAGGTCAGACTTTTCTCTCTTTCTCTCCTTAGACTTTGTACCCATTGACTTGGACGAATGGTGGGCCCAGCAGTTTCTGGCTGGGATCAACAATTGCTCCTAAAAAGCTGCATTGAGAGGAGGAGAGTTGCCTATAGTCAGGGGCCATCTACCTGCTGACCCAGAGCAGGCAACACCAACAGAAGAGGACCACTGCCAGCCCCCTTGCCTGGGGGATGGGGCAGGCACCTGCCATCCCAGAAGTGCCAGCATTTGGACATTTGGAACTGCTGCAGCCTCTGGCCAGGCTACCTGGGTGCTACATGTAATGGGAGGGGGAGCAGAGGCTGTTTGGCACCTCCCACCTTGACTTTGCTCCTGCCAGTTGAGCCCAGTGGGAAGTTCTTGCAGAGCTGGGGTACAGCTCTCCAAGCCAATAAAGAATTTAAACCTGCCTGCCCTCATGCTGTCCCAGGGATGTGTGTGTGTGTCTGTCTGTGTCTGTGTGTGTGTGTATGTGTGTAGGGAGAGGTTTTTTTTTTTTAAAAACACCAGATATCCTTAACCTTTTTTTGGGTCATTGACCACTTTAGCAGTCTATGGACCCCTTTCTCAGCAAAATGTTTTTAAATAATTGAAAGAATGCTAAACTTCAGTTAAAAGTTAGTGAAAATAAAACATATATATGTATATATATTTCCCATTTGAGTTTACAGACCCCCTGAAGTCTGTCTATGGTCCCCAAGTTAAGAACCCTTGCTTTGGAATCAGGAAGTAAGGGCCATCTTGCTGGCTCAGGTTTCTCTAGCACTCCCTGCTTTCTCAACCCAAAGGGTAGCTTCCTGAATGTGGGGGGCCCTTCAACCCTGTGTATCCATGATGATCTATGTTGTAGAACAGGGCAGGTTGGAAAAAGACTTATCTAGTATTTCCTTCCCTGGAATGGAGGTTCCTCATCACCTCCCAAGCAAGGTGCTTTCCCCCAGCCTTGCCTCAACATTATGGAGAAGGAACATCTCAGGGCTGATTGCAGCTTTGTTTCCTCACCCCATTACCCCCATGTTCCCTTTGAACATTCTTCGCCACAGACAGAGAGGTGGGGAGCAGGGAGGTCTGGGCTACTACAGCCACTGAGCAAAGACAAGACCCAGAGATGTCTTTCTGTCCACAGCCAGCTTGGTTGGTGGTCTCTCTAGAAACCAGGACTGGAATAATACAATTGCCCTGGTCTCTCTTTATCACTCACTTGCCTCTCCTCCTAAGGTGGCTGATGGGATCAGTTTTATGGCTACCAAGTGCATTCCCCTTTACCTTCTTCTGATCCGTAGTCAGACTGTTATCCATTGGGCCATTGGCTCTTTGTTCCCCCTTTACCTTCTTAATGAAACTACTGTTGGGTTTTGAGAGAGACTTGCAGAATGTCCTCTATCTAGGAGTCCTGGAAGGAAACTGCTTTCAGCTACTGTTTCTATAATACTTTAGCATTTACAAAGTGTTTTTTTTCTTTATAGTCCTGTGAGGCGTATTCAAGTATTATCATCCTCTTTTCGTAGATGGGTAAACCGAGACTGAGAGTCTATGACTTGCCTATAGTCATATAGTCCAGTATATGTTGGAGCAGAGATTTTAACTAGGGTCTTCAAGGATTTCTCCCTTCATCTTTCTTTGGTTTAATATGAACAAAGTCTTTTGAATAATCCTGACTCCTCCATTCTCCATCTAACCACCAACAAAAGTCAGATACACGTGAGGCATTTTGCTGAGTGCCGAGGATTCAAAGAAAGGCTAGAACAAACCAACAAACAAAACCCCAGCAGTACTCCTTTCTCTCAAGGAGTTCACAGTCTCATGGGAAGACAACATGCAAATAACTATTTACAAAAGCTATAGACAGGATAAATTGGACATAATCTCAGAAGGCACTAAGATTAAGGAGGACTGGGAAAGCAAAAAGTTCATGGTTCCATTTAAATTCTAGAAGTTGGTCTAGTACTTATCTCAGCCTGAGGTTGTACTGAGTCTCTGCCTTCCTAGGATCTAACTAAGCCAACTTTCTTGTCTCCAAATCCTTTCTAAAATCAGATGTATTTGACCTCGTTTTCCCATTAACCCTGGAGGGAACTTGAAAAGAGGGCAGGGAATTGAATAGTTAAGGCATGCTTTTGCTTAGGTACTTCCAACACCCTTCAAGGCTGCTAGAGGCAAAACTGTGAAGCAGCAAAGTTGCTAAGCATTGTACTTCACCCCCAACCCCCATATTTACGTTGTGCTCTCCTGGGCCTGACCTTACTGGGAAAGGAGGAGTCTGGAAGTACACTCTCTCCTTCCCCCTCCCAAGCAAAATTTCTCTGCCTGTGTCCTAAGGTCTTTGCTTTCCAAGGATACAGCTAATTTTAGATAGTCTATATTAATGGCTGCTATGTTTCTGACAGAGGGTTGGCTCCCAGGCTTGACCAACCTGCCTCGGTAACACAGGCTTTCAAGACAATGAAGTTTTAATCAAAGATTTGGACAGTGAGGGCTCCTCATTGCACTCCATTTTTTCTTAACTCGTGCCTGGCCCTGACCACTTGAGAAGGAAGGGAGGGAATATGTTGGGAGGGAGGGATTGCTGACTAGGAAACATTATTGACCTATGAGGAAAGGGAAGACTCATGACTCTTTCACTCTACAACTATAATCCTATGCAAATGACTATAACCACTTGGGAGGAGGAAGTGGACACCAATCGGAGAGGTCAGGGTCAGAATTGGGCACTGGAACAGCAGACTGATAGCCCGCAAGAGCTCTGTAGAGCCATCTAGTGGTCAACTTAGGTAATGCTCTGAAAGAAGGGACTGGCTCTTGGGTATGGACTGCTTGGGGCCCTGCCTAAACACTGGAAAGTTATCATAGAATCTGTGCTGGAAGAAACTTGGAGGGTCTTTAATCCAACAACTATCTAAGCAGGAATCAGCAGCATCTCCAAATGCAAACCCGTTCTTATAAAGTAGCCTATTCCACTGGTGGCTAGATTGTGGAAAACTTTCAATATAATAATACTAGCAATTATAATAATAACCAACTTTATATAGCTCTTAATGTGCCAGGCACTGTACTAAGATCTTTACAATTATCATCTCATTTGATCCTCACAACAAAAAGACCAACGTTGGGAGGTAGGTGCTATTAACTATCCCTATTTTATAGATGAGGAAACTTGGACCCAAATCCTAAGCTTTCTAAATTGATTTTATTTATAAATGGCTGAAGTCTAACTGGCACTTTAAACAGATTACCTATTCTAATTTCCATGGAAGAAACGGAATCTCCTCATTTTATAGAATTATAAGAAGTGAAGGGATTACAGTGGTGGGGAACCTATGGCCTGGGGGCCACATGTGGCCCCCACAGGTCCTCAAGTGTGGCCCTTTGACTGAATACAAACTTCATGGAACAAATTCCCAAAGGGCCACGATTGAGGATCTAGAGGGCCACATGTGGCCTCGAGGCCACAGGTTCCCCAGACCTGGATTAGGACTTCCAGGAACATAGGATGTCCTTGAACCCTGGGCTCCCCTGTTTAATTCTGAGCCCATCTCCCTACACCTACCCCATGACATTGAATCACATGGAAAAGAATTTATAGATAATCAAATCCAGTCCCCCTGATTGTAAAAATAAAGAAACTTGGTTCCAAAAAGAGGAAATGGTTTGAATGAGAGATGAGATAATAAGTATCAGAGTCCTATTAGAATTGAGGTTTTCTTACTCCAAATCTAGCTATTTTCAAATGAGCATCTGCAGGCTGAGGGGATCCTTGCCCATACTTTAAAAAGCTCCTAAATCAAGGATTGTCAAGCTTTTTATGTGTGTCATGGAATCAGGGAAATGCTAGTAAATGCTTAATAGGCTCTTTGGTAAAAACAAACAAACAAAAGCAAAAAAGTGTCCATAGTACACTTTTAAATTTAATCTACATTATTAACATTTTCTCCATCAGTTCCTTAAGGCTAGATAATTAAAAAAAATCAAGTTCTGATTTGTAACCTTTGCCAATATCTGAATCATACATACTCATATTGAAAATTTAACAATTGTTTGAAGCTGCTACAATCTGGTCCTAGCACCGCCCTGCATAGATCCCTTTGGTCACCAGGGGAAGCCTAAGGACCCCTTCTCAGAATGTTTTTATTTTATTTTTTTGCTAGGCAATGGGGTTAAGTGACTTGCCCAGGGTCACACAGCTAGTGAGTGTTATGTGTCTGAGGCCGGATTTGAACTCAGGTACTCCTGACTTCAGGGCTGGTGCTCTATCCACTACTCCACCTAGCTGCCCTCAGAATGTTTTTAAATGCATACATTTAAATACATAAGATTATAAAAGAAATTAATTATATTAAAAGATAGTTATCACAATATATTACAAAAAAACTCACAAGTCAGGGACTTCAGGCTAATAACTGCCACCCAAGATCAAGTGGAGTGAACATTAAGGCAGGAGAAGGGAGGCAACTAGGTATAGCAGTGGATAGAACACCTAGGCCTGGAGTCAGGAAGGCTCATCTTCATGAGTTCAAATACAGCCTCAGACACTGGCTAGCTGTGTGACCTTGGGAAAGTCACTTAACCCTATTTGCCTCAGTTTCCTCACCTGTAAAATGAGCTGGAGAAGGAAACAGCAAACCACTCCATTATCTTTGCCCAGAAAACCCCAAATAGGGTCATGAAGAGTCAGATTCGACTGAACCACAGACAAGAAGAGGTGAGTTGTAGCTCTGCTGTGCCACAAGCTGGCTTTGTGACAAAGAATGCACGAAGGAATAAGGTAAATAAAGTATTTAGTAAGAGTTTATTGTGCAAAGCACTATGCCAAGTATTGGAAACACAAATAGAAAGTAAAGACAGGGCCTTGCTCTCATTCAGTCTCTTCCAACTCTCTAGGTCAGTTACTACTCTGTGAATGCAAATGTGGTTTGATTCAGATGTTTTCCTATTCCAGCGGGGACATAGGATGACGCTCCACTTGGATCGTCCATGGTCATGACCACCTTGGCCCAGGACTTGGGAAGCAGGGCGCTAAGTGCGCATCCTCGACTCTCGGTTCAGGACTTCGGCTTCCAGGACACAAGGCCGGAGTAAACTGAGAGGTGGGGGCCGAGGACGCGTCAGGAACGTGTCCCTTTTCTAGCCGCGCCCCCTCTGCTCCGGAGGGGCGGCCGGCCTCCATAGCGGAACTGCAGGGCCTGCGCAGAGAGTCCTGGCAGGCGCCGGTTGCTAGGCAACCGCGCTGCGTGCCCGAAGACGTCAGGGTTGGCGGCCTCGGCGCCCGCAGTGGCGGGAGGGTTGAGCGGCCGGAACCTGGCGGGAACCCTGCGGGGCAGCCGAGAACATTGCGGCCATGGCCCGAGGTAGTGGAGGGAGCGGGAGGCTCCGGGAGCGGCGTGGGCGCCTGCTGGGGCGGCAGGGAGTGTCCAAACTCCGGAGTCGCTAGAGCTGGGTGGAGCCTGACGCCAAGAGAGGCCCGGCCGGGCCCCGGCCTTCCCCAGGGGGCTGCTCTGCTGCTCTCGGGGCTCGGTCTCCGGCTCCTGCCGGTTCCGTCCGGCCCAGCTGGACTCTGCCGGGTTACCCAGGGCTCTGTGTGGACCCCCAGCGGCCTGAGGATCCGCTGCCATCTGGTCCCAGCACCCCCCTGGTGCTTGTCTCCCCTCCTCCGGGAAAGCCTGGTGGGGGGATGGGGATTGAGGGGGGCTGTGGGACCCTGGGCCAGGCCCTTCCACTCACTCTCTGGACCTCAGTTTCCTCCTGCATCCAACGAAGAAGTCAGAGGGGATGACTTCCGGACCCTTAGGTGACGTCGTCGATGGACTCGCTCTTAGATTCATTTGAGTGCATTGGAGATTTTTAAAGTCCTTATTCTGTATAGAACACAGCGCACTCACTGGGAAAGATTACAAAATTTAGGAAAATTAACATCCCCGGTCGGGCACATTAACGGATGATTATAATGCTAAATAATCCACGATAAGCTCATGAGAGAGTGCAGACCAAGTGCTGAGTGGACTCCAAGAGGGGGGTGGAGAGAGGTCATTAAGACTGGAGGTAGACATCATGACAGTTTGCTGGGTTGGTGGTGTTTGAGTTGACCCGTAAAAGCTCAGTAGGTATTTTAAGACGAGGGAAGGCTTTCCAAGTACAGGGAACTATATAGGGAACAAGGGCACCAAAGTTTGAAAGTGTCCCCGGCTTTTTGAGGAGGGGAGGTGGTAAAGAAAGTGTTGTCCATATGTTGTTTGGAAAGGAGGAGAGGTCATAGGGCAGCTTATTAAATCATTGTAGAGATGGAGAAACTGAAGCTCCCAGAGGGGTAATATCTGGGTGGTCACATAATGAATGCTAACAGCAAGCAATGCTCTTGAATTCCAGATCTGAAGGAGCTTCGAATGACAAGTGAGTTGCATGGTAGGGAGGAGCTAGGGCTTTTCCTTTGGGCTAAAAGGTCCCAGGTTTGTTCCCCGGTTCGGTCCGGCCCAGCTGGACTGGAACTAGAGACTGTGTCTTATTCATCTTCATATCTCCAAAGCATTGTACAGGTCCTTGAGCTTAGTAGCTATTTAAGAAATGTTTATTGTTGGTGATGGTTTGAACATTTCTGAACAAACATCCTGAGTTTGTGAAATCTCGTAGTCTAGATCCTCTGAGAATCGATAGTAATAATTCATTATTTCTATGGCACTTTAAGGTTTACAAAATGCTTTTTTCATAATTACCCACTTGAGGTAGGTAGTGCAGTTATTATCATTTTATAGAAGAGAGAGCAGGCTTGGAAAATCGAAGTTATTTGTTTGCCTGTAGTCACACAGCCAGTATCAGAGCAGGAGTCTACTACACCCATGCCTCCTAACTCCATGAACCAAACACTATATCACATTATTTCACTGGATCAGCCATCATTTTATAGGGAGGAGAGGGTTATTCCAAGGCATTGACATTGTGTTGACTTTTCTTGTCAGTGTGGCAACATCCATTTCTGAATGTCTTCAAACACTTGAAAGTAGAAGAATGGAAAAGGTCCACCAAGGAGGGTGATGTGACTGCTGTTATGGTAATCTGTCCATATCTTGGCTGTTTATCCTTGAGTCCTGTGAATTCAAAATCACCCTCTCTTCCTGCTGGGAACTCCCTAGGAGCTATTCACTTTGGGCCCTGATTGGCTCAGAATGAACGTAAATAGCAATTGTTTCTGTTTTGGCCAGAAATCCTGAGGGTCTTCCCCTCCTGGATCTGTTTTTTTCTTGAAGAGGCCATTCTTTGCCCCATTTCTTATTAAGCCTTAATCACTTAATGGGCTCTGCCTCAGTGAAATTGAGATCCGTTGAAGACCTTAGTTTGAAAAGGCCAATGTCCCTCACTGCATCCTGGGCTATCTGCACTTGTCCTGAACCATATCTGGCCACTGCACCCAGATGGTTCTGGAGGAGAAAGTGAGGCTGGGCACTTCGCAGAACCCTTTCTCACTTAGATGCAATTCACTTGCATGTCATGGTTTCCCAAGTTGGTTCTTGTCTACTTTGCTGTTTGAGGTATAAACTCAATTTTAATTTTTATCTGGCTGACATCTCTTCTTAGGATAAGACACTGAAGGCAACAGTTTATCGTATTTGTGGTGCCATTCCTGCTGGCAATTTTATTCAGCTTCCCAAAACTAGCACCCAGTCTCTGGGACTGACAGGGCGGTACCTCTACCTACTTTTCAGGCCTATTCCCATGAAGTACTTTGTTGTCCACTTGGATGTGACTACTGAGGTATGTGTGAGACACATTTTGTTATATGGTTCTCATGTTATTCAGATGAATTAATAGATATGGAAGCATTTTGAGATAGATAACCTTGCTGTGAAAATGTAAAGTGATATTACAGAAGAATGAGAAGGGACAGAGGGCGAGAATGTAGCCTCCCAATGGCCAAGACAATTTGTCCTTTCTTTTATAGTCACTTGAACGTTTCTGCCTTTACCTCCTCTTCTCCTTTTTTTTTATATATTTTATTAATTTATTTTGATTTATCAACAATCACTTCCATATTCTTTTGAGTTGAAAATTTTTCTCCCCCTCTTCCCCCCCAAGATGGTGCACAATCTGATATAGGCTTTATATTTACATTCCTATTAAACATATTTTCACATGAGTGAAGTTGTAAGTAAAAATTAAAACCAATAGGAGGAACCATCAGAAAGAGGAAACAAAACTCAACAGAAGGTAAAAATAAGTGATAGTGATTCAACTTCCATAGTTCTTTCTTTGGATGTGGACAACATTTTCCATCACAAGGCCTCTGGAGATGTCTTAGATCCTTGTAATACTGAGAAGGGTTCAGTTTAACAATATTAGTCATTGCATAACGTGGCTGTTATTGTGTACAAAGTCCTCTTGGTTCTGCTCATTTCACTCAGCATCAGACCATGTAAGTCTTTCCAGGTTTTTCTGAAGTCAGCCTGTTCATCATTTCTTATAGCACAATAGTATTCCATTACATTCATATTCCACAACTTGCTCAGCCATTCCCCAGTTGATGGGCATCCTCTCAATTTCCAATTCTTTGCCACCACAAAAAGAGCTGCTATGAATATTTTTGTACATGTGGGTCCTTTTCCCATTTGTATGATCTCTTTCCTCCTCATCTCCTGATTGGGTTATATATCTCTCTTCTCAGGATAGCCAAGTGATTCGAATCTCATTCTCCAACCTGTTTAAGGAGTTCAAGTCCACGTCTACCTGGCTTCAATTCCCTTTCATTTATGAAGAAGCTACAGGGCCTTCGAAGACTTCTAAGACAGGTTGGTCCAGGAGCACCCTGAAAGTTCATGTTATACTAGTTCATATTTACATAGTGCATTAAGGTTTATCCAGGATTTTCTGTATACAGTGTTGCTGTGTCATGTTGCACATGATCATAGAGGTGATGGTTTGTCCAGGGTGATATGGCTAGAAAGAAGCCGAGCCAGGATTCAGTTCCAGTTCTCTTGGCTCCAGTGCTCTTTCCTCCACACTAGGCTGATAGCCTAGACAGAAGGCTTTGAGATGTCATTACAAAAGGTGGAGCTAGAGTTCTTCAGTGATGCTGAGTAGGGTAGCTTCTGAAGTGTTTCCAGCTTAGTAAAGAGAAATTTACGCCCAGGAATTAGATGAACTAAGTGCTCTTTTGAGCAAAATGGGCCTATTGCCAATCTGCGTGTTTGATGGTTGTTTCTGAATGGTGGCTTAATGAAAGAACGAGAGGAGGGAAGGAATATGCGTTGGGGATTAGAAAGGACCTGTTTGCGGGCAGAATAGTAGATAATATGGCCTGTTACTGAAGTCAGATTAAGAAGTAAACCTCTTTCCTTGAATTTTCTAATTCATTCTTTCTGGGTCGTTGTGGAGAAAGGACTGACTTAAGAGGATAGTCTTGATGAGCCTGTAGGAGGGTGTTGCAAATTGATTGTTTATTTCCGTAAGAGGTTCTGATCATGATAAATTTAATATTTGACCCTGGGTATTTCTAATTTCCAGACCTTATTGGTGCAGCTCCCAACTATGTGCGATGGACTTGCCTTCAGCTTGATCTCCAGTTAATTCTAATGATGTATCTGAATCGACGTTACAGCCACGTAAAGGGTATCAAGCTCTGTGCCAATCAGCTGGTGAAAAATATCTATACCAGTGACCTGTCTTTTTATCCAGGTGAAGAGTCAAACCCAGGAGAGTGGCTCTTAGGGAATTTAAGTTGAATGCCTTAACTTATCTTTTCTCATCTCCTCTACTTGCTTCTTCTCTTCTTGTCTACAAACATACGCAGATCTACACTATCTTATTTATTTTTGTTTTGTTTTAATTTTCAATTCCAAATCTTCCCTTCTCCATTGAGAAGGCAAGAAATATGATACCCATTATACATATTAAGAAATATGATATCTATTATACATATGAAGTCACGCAGAACATTTGTGGAGGAACAAAGCAAGAAAAGTAAAGTGAAAAAAATATGTTTCAGTCTTCACTCAGGAGTTCATCAGTTCTCTTTCTGGAGGTGGATAGCATCTTTCATCATGAGTCCTTTGGAATACAATGTGTAGATCATTATTTTGATCAGAAATCTACTCTTATCTTAAAAAACTTAAAACTTGCTTAAACCCTGCTGTTTCCCTTATGTTCTGGTCCTCCTGTCTCATCTTACTGCCAAACTTTTAGAGTAATTTATATTTGCTGGTTTCCTTTCTTTTCCACCCACTTAACTCCTTGTAATCTGATCTTCATCCTTTATATTCTAATTCAATTTCTCCAAGGCCACCAGTGATCTCTTAACCATTACATGATGTATTAGGAAGGGCATTGGGTTTGAAGTCAGAGAGTCTGGGTTTGAATTCCAGCTCTGTATGAACAAGTCACAACTTCTACATAATCTCAACTGGGCCCTCACTACAGCAAGGCAGTCCTTTTGTACCTCCCTAAGTGATTCACTATCCTATTCACCATAATAGCTTTTCCAGACCTTTTCATCCCTTTCAGATCTCTCAAGCTCCACTCCTCCAGCCTCTCAGCTAAGAACCTTATCTTAAGTTTCACTGAAAAATTAAACCCATTCGCTGAGAGTTCTGTTTCTCCTCTCCTCATCTCACATCTCTCAGATGCCTTGTTCCACTTTCTCTTCCTTCACCCTTGTGTCACATGAAGAGGTAGTTCTTGTCAAGGCAATCCTCTCTACATGCGCAAGGGATGCAGTTACACCTTTTCTAGTAGTGTCTTCCTTCCCGTTATCCCCACTGTCACTTGTCTTTCATCTCTTGTCTATTACAGGCTGCTTCCCTTTTGCTTGCAAACATGCCCATGTCTCCCTCATCCTCAAAAAAAATCCTCACTTGATCCAGTGATCCCCTGTAACTATAATTATACGTCTCTCTTTTCTTTTATGTCCAGACTCCTCAAGGAAACCGTCTACAATTGATACCCTCACTCCTTTTCCTCTCATTGCCTTCTTAACTTTCGGCAGTCTGGCTTCTGACCTCATCATTCAACTAAAATTGCTCTCTCCAAAGTGACCAGTGGTCTCTTAATTACCAGATCTAATGGCCTTTTCTCAATCCTCATCCTTCTTGACCACTCAACCTTTGACACCGTGGACACTTCTTGATATTATTTTGTCTTTTTGTGATGCTACTCTCCTGTTCTCATCCTACCTATCAGACTACTGCTTCTCAGTTCCTTTTACTAGATCTTCATCCAGTTTGACAAATGGTGGGTATTCCCCAGATTTCTGTCCCAGTCCTGTTTTTCTCTTTCTGTATTTCACTTGGTGATCATTGACTTCCATGACCTCCAGAATTATATTTCCAATTGCTTTTTGGGTATTTTGATCTGGATATCCCATTGAGATCTCAAACTTAACTGTTCAAAACTAAACTAATCATCTTTTCCCAAAACCCTTCTGTCTTCTCAGCTTTCCTGTTACTGTCAAGGGTACCACTGTCTTCCCAATCACCCGGCCTCACAATCTACATGTTTTCCTTAATCCTCATTATCTCTCAACCCCTGATATCACATTCATTACCACCTCCTGTTGATTCTGCCTTTGTAGACTTCTCTGATACAGCCACCACCCTAGTATGGGCTCTCATCCCCCATCACTTCATACCTGGATTCTTGCAGTAGCCTTCTGGTTGCTTTCCTTGCCTCAAGTCTCCCCATTCCAGTTCCTCTTCCACTCAGCTGCCAAAGTGATATCCCTAAAGCTCGGATCTGACCATCAGATCCTATTTAGTAAGCTCCTTATTACCTCGAGGATCTGAGATAAAATCTTATTTGGTATTCAAAGCCCTTGATCACTTGGCTCCAGTTTTCTTAGACCTTACTGCCCTCCACATACCCTGCAATCCAATGACACTGGCTTTCTTGCTTTGACTTGCACGAGACACTCCATCTCCTGACTCCATCCCAAGCTGTTTTCACTGGCTTTTACCCACACCTGCAACAGTCTCCCTTCTCATCTCTGCAGTTACTGGGGAGTTAATCTTTTCTTGTGGATTTGTGTTTTGGATGTCCCTAGATCAGGGCTGGGGAACCTGTGGCCTCGAGGTCACATGTGGCCTTCTAGGTCCTCAGGTGCAGCCTTTTGACTGAGTCCAAGTTTTATAGAACAAATCCTTTTATTAAGGGGATTTGTTCTGTGAAGTTTGGATTTAGTCAAAGGGCTGCACTTGAGGACCTAGAGGGCCACAGGTTCCCCACCCCTGCCCTAGATCGATCTGCAGAATTTCTTTATTGTCAGTGCCTTCTGTTTACTTATATTTCCAGCCTTACTTCCTTAATTGGGACTTTGTGTTATGGCTAGGCTTCTCTTGCAGGCTTCCACTTCTACTGATGTCTGTGCTCAGAATGCTGGAGGGCATAAAGCCCACTTTTCTGTGTATAGAGGGCTGCATTTTACAAGGTCCTCAGGGGTGGCAGCTGAGATCAGCATGCTGCAAACTTTCAAAGCCCCCGTATTTATTGCCCTCTGGAGCTTTGTCAACCCCTATGTGTATCCTACTGCCCTAGAGCTTCCTCTTTAGAGCATTCTGATCTTCCTGCTCCCAGGTACCATGTATTGCTGGCAATGGGTGTCTTTGGAGTGTAACGGGGATATGCTTGTTGACCTCCAGACTCACTGCTTGACCTCCTTCCCTAGCTAGACTTCTTCCTTAATGCCTTGTAGGCTTCTGGCTCTTCTCTCATGCAGGCCTGGGTTGGGTAATGGTAATTAGTATAGTTTCTCTTTGTATTTTTTTTTATCCTTGCTTAGTCTGGCACTTTAAAAAAATCATTACTAGAATACTTGTGTGGGAACTGAGTTGTTCTTGCACTTATTTACTTTTCCATCTTTAATTGGAACTTGCCCTACTTGTTATTATTTCTTCCTAAAACTCCACTTTGTACACAACGTCTATCCTGCTTAAAACTTTCGGTGGTTCTCTGTCGTTGATGAAATTATATCCATATTCTTTAACCTAGTATTCCAGTCTCTCCGCAATCTGACCCTTTCTCCCAGTTAATACTCTTTTTCCCCTCTCCAAGGTACCTTGTATTTACTTATCTGTATATATGTAATTTCTCCTTCATCTTAACCAGCAAGTAGTAAGTTTCTTGAGGGATATATAAGGAGAAAGTGAGGCTGGTGACTTTGCACTGCCCCCCCTCACTTAAATCCAATTCACTTGCATGTCATGGCATCACCTCCCTGATGTCATGGTCCTCTTTGAGAATGAAAGGCAAACAGCAGCAGCAGTGTGTGTGTGTGTGTGTGTGTGTGTGTGTGTGTGTGCATATATGCATATATGTGCATGCATGTATATAATGTATATGTATATATAATGTATATGTTTACAGGCACATACGTGTATGTGTGTGTGGGAGGGGGTGTATTATGTTTTGGATTGAACTGAATTATCTCCTGTTGTATCTCCTCATGTATCTTTGCTGCATGAACCTTAATTCCAGCTGAACCTATCCATACATTGTTCCCTGAGTGTACCATGTGCTTTCTTATCTCTCCCTTTCTCTAAACCTTACTCTTTTAAAAATGCCCAGCTACCCCTGTTTACAGTGATTGCTTTCCACTCTGAGCTGTATTGCTTGAACAACCCCTTTCGTACATCACAAATATGCTTCTGTTTCTGAATTTATTTTTACATACGTGTCCTATCCTGGTTCTCTAATTAGATGTAAAATCCTCTAGGACAGAGATCATATCTTATACCTCCTATTCCTGGTGCTCAGTGCTATATGCATGTATACATATATATGTATATATGATATCTATATGATGATGTCTTTCTATGTATGTCTATATTGTGTACATATAGGTATTTTATATTTATCATATGCATTTAAATGTATTTAATATAAACATATAAATATACATATATTAAGTACTCAGTACTAATGATAATTATAATCTGACTCTTAACTTAGACTTACTGACATGTACCAGATCCCCACTTCGACAGAGCTAGAAATTTCCAGCTGCTAATATGTTCTTGATAGTGAGAAATTCCAAGTTGGCCACAGGACGGAAAATAGACTGGGTGTAATTGTCGGCTAGGCTGAGTAACCAGAAAGATTCTTGTTTTTTCTACCCATGGATAGGTGTCACTATCTCAAAAGTTCGACAAACCAAACTGGTTCTCAACCCCATGCCCCGAGAAATGTCATTTCCTGTTCCAAAGGGGGAGAAATGGCATGATCATTATGTGTTTATCAGGTATGTATCTTACTGCTTCTGAACATAAGCTGCTTATTATATCTAAGAATCTTCTTTTTGTTTATTTGTGAATTGTGAATTTAATAGCAAAGTAACATAGATATTTATACTCTTTGTGTATAAAAAAAAGATTATAGGAAGTAGTTGTAATGAAAAGAGAAAAAGTGAAAAGAGAGGAAAAAATTCCACTTCTCAGGTGAGTAATGAAAACGTTCATTGTAAACCATTGCAGTTAGAGTGAAAGGCATTTGTACATTTCATCTGGCATTCAACTCTGACTTTTTCTGGCTAAAGACAAGTCTTTTAGCTCAGCCCTATATTCCCATTCAAGAGACAGAGAAGGGGAGCTGTCATTCAATCATGGAGTCTATCCTTTATTATCCACAAACTGAAATTTGCTCAATGTCCATGTTCACTCTTCTCTGGCCTCTTAATCTGGGGTTTGGGGTAAGAAGAGCATAGAGAGCAGAGGAAGGGAAAAAAAAAGAATGATGTCTATACCTCTTCTAATGTTAAGAATTTCTCTTTTCCTAATTTTAACCTTAGAGTGCTGGGTGTCATAAAATCACTGGACTGGGTATCAAGAGACCTGAATTCTAGGTCTCTCTTTATTAATAATTTAGCTGGCTTAGGGCAAGTTATCTGGCCTCTCTTTTTCACCTTTTTTGAAAAATTAATTTATTTTTAGTTTTCAACAATCACTTCCATAAGCTTTTGAGTTATGAATTTTTTCCCTCTTCCCTCCCCAGGATGATATGCAATCTGATATACGCTCTACATATAATCTGACATAGGCTCTATATATACATTTCTATTAAACATATTTTCACATTAGTCATGTTATAAGGAAGAATTAGAACCAATAGGAGGCACCACAAGAAAGAGGAAACAAAGCAGAAGAAAAAAAAGAGGGAACGGTATGCTTTGATCTGCCAGAGCATCTTCTTATGATACTTTGTGGAAATAGTGCCATCTTTCCTAGTCCAACACCTTCTTGTCTTTCTGCTGGGAGTGTGAATGCATGAGTAATATACTCTAGAACATAAAGTTTTCAAACTTTTTGGTTTTAGGACTTCATCCTTAAAAAATAAGGACCCCAAAGAGCTTTTGTTCATGGGGGGTATATCTACAGATATTTACCATATTTAGAAATTAAAGCTCACAAATTTTAGAAATATTTATCCATTTAAAAATAAAAAAATAAACCTATTACATATTAACATAAATATTATTTTAATGAAAAATAACTATATTTTCCAAAACAAAAATTAGTGAGAAGAGTGGCATTGTTTTCCATATTTTTACAAATCTCTTTAATATCTGGATTAATAGAAGACAGCTGGATTCTCATCTGCTTTTGTATTCAATCTGTTGTAATATGTCATTTTGGTTGGAATATATAAAAAAATTCAGCTTCATACAGATATATGTGGTTAGGAAAGTGAGGAGTATCTTCATAAGCCAATGATATTTTTAGTATTGTTATCAAAATAGTTTTGACTTTGTGAATTCTTTGAAAGGGTCTCAGAGACCCCCAGGGCCTGTGGACCACATTTTGAGAATTACTCTGTTAGAAGAATGACTTTTCTTTTGCCCTTATTCAAGGTTTCCTACTGATGACTCCCAAATGCTCCATGATTCAGTTCAGAGCTGTCTTTCTCATACATCAGGTAAGCAGGAAGAGTGGTCCATAAGCTGGGTAGAGTGGCTGGGACATTTTGTGTGAGGCTAGTCCAGTTGACAGGGAAACCTAGAGCAATGAGGTTATTCTAGCTCCTAGGGCTGTAGAATTTCAGACTTGAAGGGACCATGGATGTAATCATCTAGTCTGGCTTCTAGCTGGAGCATGAATCCTCACTATAACTTCCCCAGCAAGCAGTTATCAGACTCTGCACTTCTCTGTCTTTTGAGGTAGCTGATTCAGCTGGTAGACAACTCTAATTTTTGGTAAGTTTTTGTGCACTTTCTTATTTTGAGCTAGTCTGCCTTATCTTTCTCTACAAACCAGCAGTGGTGCCTATGTGGTATCTTAGGCTATCAGATAATCTAGTCTACTCTAACTCTTAATACTGAAATCAGTTAAACAGCCCTTGCTTTCCTGCCTTAGGATCTCAGGGGCCTGTGCAGCAGCTTCCACGATCGGTGACTAACAGCAGAGCCATCCAAGATAAAGTGTCACTCATCCAGCAGATAACCAGTCCCATGGCTGTGGGTATCAGCTCAGCTTTCTTTACCCTCTTTTCTGGTACTTGGTCTTCAAGAATTATTGTAATTTTCCCTTCTGATTTTGTTGGTTCTAGGGACCTGTGAGAACTAGGCTAATGATTTTTTTTTTAAACTCAGTGGTCACATCGGGCTCCTTCGGTTCAGAAGTCTATCCCTGAGGTAAGTCTGACCTCTGGGCACCTGGAAACCTCATACCTTGGGGATCAGAAGGGACACAGAGAAGGAGTTCTAGCTGGTGGAGATGCTACTGTCACACGTGCGGCAAATGATGGTGGCATTGACGTGTATGTTCACAAATTGGGCAAGGAACCCACCATCCTTGAAGACTCTGGCTTGGGTGAGGTAAGCACTATGTGCTGTAATGGTGGCAGCTTTTAGCACATTTTGGCAAGACTTTGGGTTCTCATTACAACACTGGGAGAAACCCAGTGAACCTTTTCATAGAGGACAGCTCAGATATTCTATTGAAGAGTTAGCTCTCTCATAGTAATCACTAGAGGACTCATCTAGGACAAGTATCTCTTCTTCTGAAGGTTTATATTTTGGTGGCAAGATGCAGAGAGGTTTGTGGGCCAGTGAGATGAGTCCCTAGGCCTTAGAAGAGATCTCTGTGTCACTTATACTGGTACTCATTTCAGAGGATAGCTGTCATTTATGGGGCACCTAGCCCCTCTCTCAGATCTGATCTTCTGGTGTCATAAGATTGTCATGGATAATATTAATTGGGCTGTTTCCCTGTAGTTCTTTCCCCCATCTCTCACTTTTCCTTTCTTATCCAGATTACAAGCCCAAGGCTGACCAAATCAGAGACCATTTCTACCAAGAATTCATCTCGGCACAGAGTAAGGAAGCAGCTCCTTCCCTTCAATGCTGAAGCAATGCTTTGGCCTTTTTGAGTTGGGTCCTGCTCTGAAATGAAATTGACCTTTAGAGATGTGAATGTAAATTGTACAAATGTCAGCTTCTAGTCTAAGGGCGAGTAGTAAGAAGTGGCATTCAGGTTCCTTCTTGGACTGTGGAAACCTTATCTGGCTCCTCATTAGAGAAGGTTTTTTTATCCTCACAAGACCAAATCATCTTCCGTGTTGACTGATTGGGTATTGTAACACATGTCTCCCATTATTACCTCATGAAGGACTTGCTTAAGTGATTAGAAAAGGTTCAGTGTTGTCCTGGAAGTTATAAGGCCTTCCCAATGGGTAAAGATGAAAGTGGTATCGTATTTTAGATCTCAGTATATTTATTCATTTGTTTTAGTGTCTCCTCCCCGACCCGATCCTGAAGCTAAAGGGAGTGATTGGTTTTGGAGGCTGCAGCACCAAATGGGTCAGTGAGCAGGGATTGGGACTGAGTTTTAAAATATTTTTGAGAGGAAGTCAGGGTTTGGGCGTAAAATGAACCTTTTTTTGAATATCCCTTGTATTATGAAAAAGTACCTTTGGTAGAAACATGTTTTGGGGGCAGCTAGGTGGTGCAGTGTATAGAGCACCGGCCTTGGGGTTAGGAGGATCTGAGTTCAAATCCAGCCTCAGACACTGTGTGACTCTGGGCAAGTCACTTAACCCCAATTGCCTCACCAAAAAAAACCACATTTTACCTGACTTCATATGTATAAACAAATATTGTTTGCCTTCTCAATGGCTGTGGGAGGGGCTGAAGGGAGGGAGAGAATTTGGAACACAAAATAAACAAAATGAATGTTAGAGAAAGTACCTTTATTGTAGAAAGAAGGTCTTTGAATCAGAATTCCTAAATTGAAGATTGACAACATCACTCTGTTAAAAACTGGCTCCTTGGAAGTTAATTGTCATCTCCTTCGATGTTATTTATTGATTCTTTGAGACTCTCTATGTCTTTTTTTTTTTAAAGTGAGGCAGTTGGGGTTAAGTGACTTGCCCAGGGTCACACAGCTAGTACATGTTAAGTGTTTGGTCTGAGACCGGATTTGAACTCAGGTCCTCCAGGGCCAGTGCTCTATCCACTGCGCCACCTAGCTGCCCCTAGACGCTCTCTATATCTTGACTTAAATTCTTAGTATACTTTGCCTCAGAGGTGGCCCTCAGGCTAAGAGCTCCCATTTTGTTTAAAGAAGTGCACTGTGTATATGTTCTTAAGAGTATTGACCAGTCTTTATTCATCATTACTCATTGATTTGCATGTGGTATGAGATAATGGGTGTCCTGGCCTTCTTGTGTCTGGGGCTGCTGGCCTCATTTCGTACTCTTGTTTAATTTGCCACTTTGGGGGAAATGTCAAGAGTTTTAATAGGTCAGCCCACATAGGTGATTATGAAATTCCCTAAGTCTGACTCCTTTTATGATCTTACTTTTCCTCTCCTGGGCTTCACCCTTGTGCTGTAGGCCCTGTGGTCTCAGGATTGTTCCTGTTTGGTTTATCCTTGTCATGCTGTAATTGTGGCCTTGCTCGTGGAGACTGGAGAGCAGCGCTTCTTGATTGGTCACACAGATAAGGTAAACTCTGCTCCTTTCTGAAAAATTGGCTTCTTAGATCCAGGGGATGGGATGTAGATGACTGCTTGCATCTTATCACTTCTTAGGCTGTGGAGATTTGACATAGTTATACCACTACTGAGAGAGATGCCTCACTATGGATTTCCTTTTTTTCCTTGAGTATTTTCACGTGTTCTGCCAAGGGCTGATGTTTCTTCTAGGTTTCTTCCCTCACATTTAATGGGAACAGCACTCTGCTGGCTTCATCACAGATGGGTCCCCTGAGCATGGTACGACTTTGGAATTTTGAGACAGGAAAATGTCTGTCAATATTTAAAACTCACATTCACTCCATATGCTTCCTCAGGTAGGTTTCTTGGAAAGAAGGCTTCTGGGTTTGTTTAATTTTTTTTTTCTGGTTACTCCCATTGATGTATGTGAGTTCTAAATAATCCCACAATAGCAGACTTGCTGGGCTAACAGCATGTTTTCTCCATTTTCAGCTTTTCTTACAGCGGGACTGTCCTCTGTGGTGTTGGAAGGGATAGACATGGGAAGACGGTAATAGGATTTTATATTTAGTGTTGTAATCATTTAGATGTAATGAGACTTCATGATTCAAATGTTATCTCATGGTTTGTGGCCACTGTTATCCCTAGAGATTAATTTATAAATTAAAGATGGAGTAATTTTCATGTAGAATAGAAACAGTGTGAATCTATTATATAAAGAAAATATCATCGGCATGGAGCTAGGGCAACCACATGTTGGCCTCAAAGTCATTTGAGGAAAGAGCCTAACTTACTTATCTGCCTTAATAAATGTTTCATTTTTTGGATGGAGATTATTCAGAAATGGGGGACCTAGCGCCATTAGTGCTGCCTTAAAGAAGTGGAGTCTAGTACTCCTGAGTCCCGGTAAGATGCTTTTTTCCTGGTGGTCCTTCTGTCAGATCAGCATTATGAGAATGCTTATGCTGATGATCTGCTACAGATGGTGGTGGTGTGGAACACAGCTTCCGTGAGCCATGGAGGGGAAGTGACTGTCCTCGTGAAGGCCCACACGGATGTGGACATCCAGGCCTTGAAGGTTGCATTTTTTGATGATACCAGGTAATGAGGAAGAGGGGTATTTTAATGATGGGAATTGGCTATGGGGCCATTTATCCATGAGGCTATATTGAAAAGCTCTCAGCTGAGTTTCTTTTGCTTCATTATAGCTCCATCTCAATTATCCATGGTTGTGGAAGTCAGGAGAGTATGAAGAATTAAGTCTTTAGTTTCAGACTCCTGCCAGAACTGCTACCTAGATTGTCTAGAATTGGTTTCATTATCTTACAGAATTTGTTGCAAATAAGTAGTGCAGTGACCAACAGTCAGGGAGAAACAGAACAGTCTATGGATCATCAGCCACTATAATACCTGGTTCTGTACCATGTTATAACTGACAGAGTACCTCACAACAGTCCTATGACATGTCGGTATTATTATCTCCATTTCATAGAAGAGGAGACTGAGACTCAAAGAGCTGAAGCGATTTACTTAGAGTTATACAGCAAGTGTCAAAGCTAGGCTAGGCTTTGCACCCAGGCCTTCTGACGCAAGGATCAGTCTTCTTTTTCCTACACTGCCAGTCATAATTGAAATCTAGACACTTCCATCATTAGCCTTACCCTAGTACATTCCTTGGGAAGCAATGAAGTGAGAATTCCTTCCGCTGCTTTCCTCTTTGGGATTGTGTGTAACAGGATGGTGTCATGTGGTCGAGACAACATCAGACTGTGGCGGATTCGGAGTGGCACCCTGCGCTCATGTCCAGTAAATCTGGGAGAGTACCATGCTCTGGAGTTCACAGACCTTGCCTTTGAAGAAGGGCATGTTGCCAATCGAGAACCTGAGGATCGGACACTGTAAGGATTCTAACTCCCTCAAGCCAGCAGGGGAAAAGTGCCCTGCTGGCCCCGGTGTGTGGTTCTTAGAACCTGATGAGGGGCAAATGAATCTATCTCCTGTTCAATGCCCTGGGGCTAAGTATGTCAGAGTTCAGATGATAGAAGAAAGCCAGCAACAGTGCCAGGGTGAACATACCACCTATCCCTATCCCTGCTGAGTGTTAGGGCAAAGTTGTTTACAGAAACAGAAGGCCTCAGCTTGCTGAGCCTTTTCTCATGAAACTTCACAAGGCTTTAGATCATTTCACTCCGTCATACGTGCTGGTTAATTTGTTCCTTGTCCATTAGGAGGGTGGGAATCTCTACTGTCCTAAGTGTTCCAGCTTATCTTCTGTGACTTTCAGCTTTGTCTGTAGCCGGAGTGGTCATATTCTAGAAATCAACTACAAGAATGTTACCATCCAAAATGCCCGACGACTCCTCCCTTCACAAACTCCACCTATTCACCGGAAAGAGAAGCAGACATTCAACTCGGGTATACATCAGTATTCTTTGCCACAGTTTAGTTGCCTGGAGTAACAGGACAAAGGCCTCTTCCACTTCTAACAGTGTACAAAACTAAGAGTGAGTGCTTGCCACCCAAGTTCTCAAGGCAGCTGTGCTGAGGCCTGTTCTTACAGTGAGGTTGGGAGTGATGATTAAGGTACAGAATGGAGTTCATTTGTTGAAATGTAATGGTTATTTGCTGGGTCAGATTGAAAATGAGAGCCTGAATTTTCTTTTCTTTCTGCATGACATGATTAAAAAATCTGACTATGTTCTTGGCCATGAGCTAGAGACCCTGATCTCCGTGTGTGTGTGTGTGTGTGTGTGTGTGTGTGTGTGCGCGCGCGCACGCGCGGAATCTTAAGGGTTCTGAGATCATGCCACTGGAAAAGTGCCTTTTTATGTTGGCTACTCTTCTGTGCTGTTCTTTTGGCCAAGTGGAGCCTGGGAAATAGCTTGAGATATCAAAGGGGCTGTAAGAAATCTGGGGCAGGATCCAGGTGTGCTTGGAAGCTATTCCCACCACTGCAGTTCCTGGTACAATCCCCTGTCATGTGGAAATTGGAGGAGTGATGTGAGATGTTCCCAAAGTCATATTTTCTCCTAGTCACCTCCACAATAGGAAATGCCAGGTATCACTAACTTATGAAGTAGAAAGAGGAATGGACATTGAGTCCAGGGATTTAGATTCAAGTCCCCACTGCTAGTTACTATCTGTGTGATTCTGGGTCCTGTTTTCCTTACTTATAAAATGAAGGGGTTGAACTAGATGACTCTGAGGTGGCTTCTACCTCTAAATCTGTGATCTTTATGAAGAATGAAGTTTACTTCAATTATGGAACATTCTGATCCTTTATAGGGGAAATAGTCCCCCATGGTGGTTACCACCAGCCAGGCCTTTAGCTAAGTAGTTTCTGACGATAGGAATTTCTCTCACAAAGAAGAGAGAAGACTGAACAGTTTAATTCATGGTTTTCTCTTATTTTCAACCTTGATTGTGAAAGGTACATGTGACATAGTGCTTCATGGCCATGTATGGTGATTGATACAGACTGATTTTCGCTTTCAGGCCCAGGGATTGCCATCAACAGCATCAGTATTTCTTCCACCTTCTGTGCCATGGGCTCTGAAGATGGCTATCTGCGGCTCTGGCCACTGGACTTTTCATCTGTCTTTTTGGAGGCAGGTGAGTAACTTCTTTTAATCTCAGAACCCCACTTAGCTGAGAGGGATAAAACCCTTCATTAAGAGAGTCCTGGAGTCAGGTCTGAGTTTTGCTGATTTCTAGTTGAGTTCCCTTGAAATCACTTAGTCTTTTTTAATCGTCGTTCCCTCATCTGTAAACCTGAGATAGTATTTGACAGTAAAGATCAAATTAAATAGAGTTTATAATGCACTTTGTAACTGGGAAGGGCTCTAAATGTCAGCCATTTTTATTAGTCATCTGATGGACAATGAGGGAGAATTACTGACGTGTCTTACAAAGGAAAGAGCTGACATTCAGAGGTGAAGCAACCTTCTTGAGCTCACATAACTAGTAAATGGCAATGCTTAGAGTCCAGGACTCTGTGAAGTTTGGATTCAATCAGAGGGCCCCATTTGAGGATCTAGAGCACCACATGTGGCCTCAAAGCCTCAGGTTCCCCACCCCTGGTCAAGAACAAAACTGAATGTGACATTAGCAGAGGAACTTATTAGATCGAATCTTTTGTTGTGAAATTTCACAGTCTAATATCAGTCACATTCAGATGCTGGTTTCCTAGTGAAGATTCTATCTGTTTTCGTGTCTGTTCTTCACCTCTCCCCCCTGTCCCTCCCAGAGCATGAAGGAGCAGTCAGTTCAGTCTGCATTAGTCCAGATGGGCTTCGAGTCCTATCCACCACCTCCACTGGGAACCTTGGCTTCTTGGACATCCAGTCCCGAGGGTATAACACACTTGTGCGCTCACATGCTGATTTGATCCTGGCGTTTGCTGTAGAAGGACACCGGAAACAACTGGCCACTGTCTCTCAGGACAACACCATACGAATATGGGACTTGGTGACTATGCAGCAGGTAGAGGATGTTTCTAGCTTGTGCAAAAGAGGAATACTTTTAAAGGCCTACAGTCTTTATTGTGACTGCGGCTGGACAACATAGATGGTTTCTGCCATGCAATGTTTAATTGACTTGGTTTATTTACTTTATATACTTCATTTTAATTAGTAGTCCCAGGTCTGTCTAGTTGTAGTTCTTCAAGAAAAAAATATTCTTTACATTTTTTAACCTGGTTTAACGTGGACCTGGGTGTCTGATGTGTAATAGAAGGCTTGGGATGTAGTACTAGGATATTGGTTGTTGCAGGGTTTCTATGCCTGTCTTAATTATCCTGCCTTGGGCCTTTCCTGTCTACAGCTCTATGATTTCACCACTACTGAAGAGACTCCCTGTGCCATAATCTTTCATCCCACGCAGCAGGTCTTTGTCTGTGGCTTCAGCAGTGGGGTAGTGAGATCCTTCAGCTTGGCTGTCTCTGATCTCCTGGTGGAATACAAGTATGTGGCCTAAGTAGATTAGAGCTGTTATAGTACAAATATCACAAGATGGGTGTCTTAGTGGCATTGTCTCATAATTCAGAATGACTGAGTTAATGGGTTCTAGGCTGCTGAGGGAGAAATTTGTTTTGGGCTTGGGTCTTGAAGAGATGTCCATGTTATATTTTAGAGAATGTAGATGGTGTTGGAATTGTATGAGAGTACAACCCGATCAGTGTTCTAGCTGTGAAACTAAGCCTTCTTCTGGATTCTACCCCACCTTCTTGCCAATTTCCTCTTCATATGAGTTTGATCTATCTATCTACCTCCTATAGAGGGAGATTGTGTGTGTGTGTGTGTGTGTGTGTGTGTCTGTATGTCTGTAAAATCTCCTTAGAAGTTTCTTATTCGGGGGGCAGCTAGGTGGCGCAGTGGATAGAGCACCGGCCCTGGAGTCAGGAGAACCTGAGTTCAAATACGACGTCAGACCAAACACTTGACAGTAGCTGTGTGACCCTGGGCAAGTCACTTAATCCCATTGCCTAGCCCTCCCCCCCCCCAAAAAAAGTTTCTTGTTCTGCTTGCAAGGGAAGCATTCCTAGACTATCATCAGCCTCCTTTGAGAGGGATGGGAACTTTTGAGGGCTTCATATTGCCCTCCCAACTGTGATCCTGGCCCCCACGTTAGTAGTCCTGAAGACAGGTCAGTGGTCCCCTGGGAGCCCATTTTCAGTCAGAATCCCTCCATGAAACACAGTTGAAGCCCCTCTCAGTTTCTGAGGGCAGATTCTGGTGAGGGTTCCTGGCGTGCACAAGTAAATAGGTAGGTCAGTGCTGTATTGATTAGCTGCTGCGCCTCACAGGATTTCCTGTGGCCTAAGTCATGGACTTTGTTTTGTATGTCGTGTAGGCAGCATCGAGGAGCAATCACGGGCTTAGCAGTGTCACCAGATGGCAACTTCCTGTACAGTTCCTGTTCCCAGGGGGCCCTGGCTCTCTATAACTGTTCCACCCCAAAGTACAATGTCCTCCGAATGCTGAGTAAGACTTGCCATTTACCTCACTCCTTTCTTCCCAAACTCAGTTTTCCCCAGTGGCCCAGGTTACCCTTGTAGAGCTGTGTCTGGGATGATCTAGGACAGGGGTGGGGAACCTGTGCCTCAAGGCCACACGTGGCCTTGGGTGTGGACTTTTGACTTAGTCCAAGTTTTATAGAACAGATCTTTTTATTAAGGGGATTTGTTCTGTGAAGTTTGGATTCAGTCATAGGGCCGCACTTGAGGACCTCGAGGGCCACGTGTGGCCTCCGGACCTGCAGGTTCCCCACCCCTGATCTAGGATTTCCTGCCAGGGCTAGTTAATTTCATGTCTTTGATGCCTATATGAAACGTTTTTCTAGGTCTGTCACCTTTATGTTCAACCTTCTCTGTTCACCCCCAATAAAACATCTATAGGCAGCCTATCATGTGGGCAATGGATTAATGTATCTCCTCACCCAAACCAAAATTGCTGAAACCTGAATTTGGTGGTGTTTTTAGTGTTAAAGGTCATTGACTTTTTGTTTGACTGCCCCTTGTACACTTGCCTAAGGGTACTCCCTCAGAAAAAGGAAGGCTATTTGGCTTTGTGGGGAGGTATTAGAACTGGGCAGTTCCAAGGTTCATCTTGCAAAAGCCAATGGCAAGGTAGGTAATTGGCTGGGTAGATAATTAATACTTCTTCATGGTTAGGTGTTTTAGAACTGGAGAAAAGGCAAATTGTAAGGAGCTCAGACGTCAGTGCCCTCACATAGCTGCTCTTCAGCTCTCTTTTTGTGTCATGGGTAGGTAATGTGGTCTGCCAAGATGCTGAGTTGGGCACCAATATCCTGGTTGTCAATGGGGATAGCAGTCTCCTGGCCTTTGTGGGCCCCTCCAGATATACAGTGACCATTATGGATGCTTCCTCCTTAGATGAGGTAACTGGGAATGGGAAGCTGGGTTGGCATGAAGAAAAGAATTTCTCATGCTTGGGAAAGAAATCTGCACATGCTTCCTTTGCCTCTGAGGCCGAATGGTGGAATGGTTGAACCATATAGTAAATGGCTGACACTTGGATGCCTATTCTTGCTCTTCTTGAGCTGTTTGTACCAGTTCCAGGTAGTTATTTCCAAAGCCTCCGTGAAGGGAAGAAGATGTGTGAGATGCAGTGTTGACCATGACCTTACCTACTGCTGTTTCTTTTATGAATGCCATGTAGTGTGTTATAGAGGAAATAAAGTGTCTTAGCACTCCTGTCCTTTCCCTGATCTGAATGAGGAAGATGATTTCCAAAGGAATGGAAACATTCCTTTTCCTTCCCAATTACATAGGGGAGTTCTAGGGCCTTATTGTTATCCAGGCTACTTTGTACAATTAGTGGCATTATTTTCTATTTCTAAGCTACTTCGGATTGATATCAGTATCCTGGACTTGGAGAGCACAAACCTAGACTCTGCATTGGACATATGTTTTGCTCCTGTGTCTAGTGGCCATCTGCTTGTGTCTACTTCTTCCAACAAAATCCTAGTGCTTGATGTCAAAACTGGTTGCTTGACCCGACAGGTGAGAATTACCTTGTGCTTCCTTTATCCCAAAGAATACTCTAAAGACTTAGTTGCTGTTAGTATATTTGTGAATGCCTAGTAGGAGATTATCCATTATGGTGGCAAATACCTTTAGCCAGCATTTGTCTCCCTAGTTGGTTCCTTGCTAGATATGATAATCAAGTATTTTTAAACGAAGTTATCAGGAATTTTGTATGTTCTTAATATATTTGTGGTATATAACTTATCAGGAAAGAATCTCTAAGGCTTCATTTTGTCTTCCTGAGTCAAATGCTATTTTGGTCATTAACAAACAATAAACAGTAATATATATTCTCTATACATTTTAATTGTAGTCTTCATTTTTTAGTCAGTCCTAGGACATGGGTTTTGCTTCAGAACATCATTTACAAAAACTTGCTTATTTTCTTTTTCTAGATATCCTTTTTCATTAGATACCCTTGATACCTATATTCAACCATTCCCATAAAGATTTTATAGTGATGGTGAAGGGACATAGGTTTGTGTTTGCTGACGTCTGCTCGGTTACCTTTTTTGGTGGTGATTTCACATATTTTTTTTCTATTAAAAAAAAACGACTTCCTTTCCCTCAAATATCTTGAAAATCAGTCCCTTACTGCTTTAAAAATTGTGTTGCCTCAGGCACTCATCAAGTGCTAATGTGTTAGAGTCCGAAGGTGGTGGTTTTCCAGGCATCAGTGATGAGAACGTTATAGAAATGTTGCAAATTTATTTTACTTCACCTCTGTTTTGTTGTCTTCTCAGTTTCACCTAGAACTGCTCTTGGGATTATCTGGCTTTGCCTCATAATTTTCTCCTCTATTGCTTTTCATTATCTTGGGAGGTAATCTTATTTGCCATCTCTACCTTTTTTCTTTGTCTATAATGTTCTAGTATATAATGAACTTATATACTAGGCCTTTGTTGCCTTTGTATCTCCAGTTGACAGAGAGTTCGAGTGATAGCTGACTAATGTGGTTACCAGACTTTTGGGGCTGTGTTACTGTGACAACTTGCTGTATGCTCATTAAACTTCTATAAGAAAGGTTTCTATTTCCCATTTTTCAGAGTCAACAGCTTGTTTAAGTAGCTTGAGTTAGAGCTATTATAATTGCTTTCTCATCTTTATCCTTCCTACTTATTTGTTATTAATTTTGATCTTTGCAACCCAGTGGATTATAAACCGACCTAAGCCTAAGAAATAAGGGTATTGGATAAATTGCAATACACTTAATTAGCATTAGAATTTCTGTAATATCCTCTTCTTGTTTTCTTGAAGGCTTTTATGAACCTTCTATACTCTCTAGTGTTCTTATGCTTTCTTCTATAAATAGCCTAGAGGCTACAGCAATCTGGAGTGATACAAGATAGTATGCTTATCAATGCATATAGTTTAGAATTTTATAGGTCATAATAATGCTAGCTCACATTTAGCATTTTGTAGTTTTCAAACATCTATCTCATTTCAGCCTACAACAGTCCCATGAAATAGGGAGTTGAAGTGTTATTATTCTTATCCTAGTTTTATAAGTAAAGAAATCAGATTGATGAAGTAAAATTGATTAATAAAACACGCCTTGAGCCTACATCTTCTGACTTCTAGTCTAGAGCTCTCCCTGCTGTGCCATGTATCCTTCAATACATTGACGTAATTATTTTCTAAGTAGGTATGTTAAATGACCTGCCAAGGACTTGGCAAGAAATTCACACACCAGCTTTAGAGTAGGAAAGAAATCCCATTTCTTAAATCACCATATTGTTACATGTTCCCTCTAGAGTATAATTAGAACATAACCTATCACTGCTAGCTTATTCTTGATGGCCTGAATTATGCTGATTTAGCCTTGTCAAACCTCACCCTTGGATCACTCCCACTATACACTGCCTTTGAGCCCATACATCCTACTGAAAGAAAATGGAGAAAATCATGCATGTTTTGAATGGGTGCACTACAAATTCATGTTACACAGCCTCAACTGGATCCTCACTGCTGCCAGGCAATCCTTTTATACTCCTTTATCAGTTCACTATCCCACTCTCCATAGTGGCTCTTCCAAATGCTGTTATCCCTCCTCAAACTTCCCATGGCTCCCCCTTCCTTCACCCTCTCAGCAGAGGATCTTGCCTTCTATTTTACAGAGGAAATTGAGGACATTTACTGTGAGCTCCCTCTTTTCTCCTCTTCCTCATTTCATATCATTCCAGTATCTTCTGCCACTTTTTCCTCCACCCCTATCTCACATGATGAGGTGGACTTACTCCTAACCAAGGCTAACCCCTCTATCTGCTCAAGTCTTCTATCTCCTCCTCCAGATTACCGCCTCTGCCATTCCCACTCTATCATTATTTTCAGTCTCTCCCTGTCTACTGGCTCATGCTCCACCTTCTATGTCTACCCCATCCTCCAAAAACCCTCACTTCCATCCCTGCTATCATCTTATATTTCTTCTATGTTTTGTGGCTGATAGACTCCTTGGAAAGGCCCATCTACAGTAGGTGCCTCCACTTTCTCCTCTTACTCTCTTCTCAACCCCTCATAATCCAGTTTCCAACCTTATTATTTCCCCAAAACTGTTCTCTCCAAAGTCCTCATTCTCCTTGACCTCTCTGTAGCCTTTTACACTGTTGATTGCTCTCTCTTTGATACTTTCTTCTCTAGTTATAGGACACCTCTCTCTCCTGGTTCTTCTACCTATCTGATCCTTCCTACTCCATCTCTTTTGCTGGATCCTCATTCAGAACACACCCTCTAAATTTAGGTGTTTAATTATGGGTTCTGTCCTGGGTCCTTTCTGGACAGCATACTAAAAAGCAGAGACATCACCTTGCCAACAAAGATCCATACAGGCAAAGCTATAGTTTTTCCAGTAGCAATGTATGGCTGTGAGAGTTGGGACTATAAGGAAAGCTGAGCATCACAGAATCAACACTTTCTAATTGTGGTGCTGGAGAAGACTTTTGAAAGTCTCTTGGACAGCAAGGAGGTCGAATCAGTCAATACCTAAAGGAATTAATTCAGACTGTTCACTGGAAAGTCAAATACTGAAGCTGAAGCTTGAATACTTTGACCACATAATGAGAAAATGAGACTCATTGGAAAAGACCATAATGTTGGGAAAGATTGATGGCAAAAGGAAAAGGGGATGGCAGAGGATGAGATGGATAGATAATATCATGGAAACAACAAACATGAACTTGGACAGACTTTGGGAAGTAGTGGAGGTTAGAAGGTCTTGGTGTGCTGTGGTCCTGGGTATCATGAAGAGTTGGGCACGACTGAACAGGCAAACCTGGGCCGTCTTCTCTTCTCCCTCTGTATTACTTCGCTGGATCACCTCCCATAGACTTAATTACTGTCTCTGTGTTGATGACTCTCAGATTTACCTGTCCTGCCCCAACCTCTTTGCTAATCTCTAATTTTGCATCTCTAACTGCCTTTCAGACATCTCGAAATAGATTTCAGTAGACATCTTAAACTCAGTATGTCCAAAGAACTCACGGTCTTTCCCCCCAGTCCCTTCTTCTTTCAAACCTCCCTGTTACAAAATCTTCCCCATCCTCTAGGCTTGTAACCTACGAGTCATCCTGGATTCCTCATCATCTCTCATCCCTGCACTCCCCCACCCCAGTCTGTTGCCAAGACCTGTGGATTTCACCTTTGCAACATCACTGGAATAAGCCTCCTTCTCTCCTATGACACTGACGCCAGTCTGGTACAGTCTGGTACAGTTCATGCCTGGATTTTTGCAATAACCTGATGGTGGCTCTGCCTGCCTCAAGTCTCTGCCCTCTGCAGTCTATTCTCCTGGCTTTTCCACAATACTGTCCTTGTCCCATCCCTTCCCCCCCACCCCCACCCTATACCTTCTATAGGAAGCCTTCCCCAATCCCTCTTAATTCTAGTGTCTTCTTTCTTAATTATTTCTTAATTATCCTGTATATAACTTGTTTGTATATAGTTGTTTGTTTGTTGCTGCCCCCATTAGATTGTAAGTACATTGAGGGCAAGGATTGGTTTAGCACAGTGCCTAGTACATAGTAGGTGGTGTTTTGTTGGGGGGTTTTTGCACGGGTTGGGGGGGAATTGAGTTTAAATGGTCAAGTGGTTAAGCCTAGGGTCACACAAGCTAATAAGTGTCTGAGGCTGGATTTGAACTCAAGTGCTCCTGACTCCAGGGCTGGTGCTCTATCCACTGCACCACCTAGCTGCCTTTAGTAGGTGCTTAATAAATATTGATTGATTGATTAAAATTTTTTTCCTTCAAAAATAGGCCTTGTGATCTTCTTTAACCTTTTTATTTCTCCTCCTTCTGTTCTCTGAATATTTTTCTTGTTCTAGTTATCTAACGTTCACCAAGTAGCCTGCTCCGCATTGGCTCTGAGTGAAAATGGGCAATTCCTCTTGACAGCTGGTGACCGGGCTATCAAAGTGTGGGACTTTCAGATGAAATTCAATACTAGCTTCCAGGTAAGCTAGGTGAGGGGCATGAGAGAAAGCCATACTACTCACCTTTGTCACCAAACCACTCCCAGACAGGAGGCAGTGATGTGCAGAGAATTATAGGAATCTGATCTTAGAGGCTCCCAACCTCTACACTTCCCAGTGTCCTATTTTAAAATCCCAGGGCTGTGAGTCCCACCTGGACCACACAACTTATTTCTGTGTGAGCCTGTTGTTTGGAGTGGCTGGTGGTAGGCAGAGTCCTCGTACTGGACTCATTGTGGGGCTTCTTTATGTGGATCAGAGAATTGTCGAGGAGTCAGCCTGCCTGCACCTCCTCAGCATGTGGCTAGGATCCTGGTTAAAATGCCATGTGTTTTTTAAAAAAATTAACAGAAAATATAACAGACAGGCTAAGAATTGTGACAAAGGGAAAAGAGGGGCGGTAAAGAGGTGATATTGCTCTTATGTGTGATCCTCCTGCAAGCTCCAGCTATTTTTATGAAGCCTTTTATTGGAAGAGCTGTTGTTTGATCAGTTTGGTGTGGTCAAGGCTAAGTACTAACACCATCAGTTGCCGTGTCTAGGAGCCCAGAGTACTTTTTTGCTTGCCATGAGCTATATAGAAGAGGGCCAAGAGGTTTTCTTCCTTTTACAGATGGAACACTTGAAACCCAGAAAGATAAATAATGTGCCCGAGGTCACTGCATGGCTAAGTTGAGAATAGAATCTAGTATTTATAGTGATTAGATCTCTTCATCTCTGAAGTTTTTGCATGTATGTAGCCAGTGTTCTGTCTCTCAGGTGTTTATTGGCCATTCTGAGCCAGTGCAGGGGGTGGCTTTTACTCCTGACCAGCAGCACGTCGTCAGTGTTGGAGATGCCATCTTTATCTGGGACTTCTTAGCTGCTCCTGAGAAGGCATCTAAGGGCAGGTAAGATATCTCTAATCTTTGTATAGACTTATTTATGGAGGAAAACTTTTTTCATTTCTACTTTCTTGCCCTTCCTCTCTGTAGAATTACTTTGTAATAATATTTTTTTTTCATTACCTTTTCAGTGTCCACTGGTCTATAGAGTCCTCTCCATCTCCTAATACTGGTGAGTTGTTCCCTGTTACTTAGTGATACAGATTACAGATTTTTTTTCTAGACCTTGTTGAAAGAAGACAAGAATATCCATATAGGTCGATGGAATTTGTTCCTTTGGCCAGAGATCATAGAATTAAAGATTTAGTACTGGAAGGGGCCTTATAGATTATCAGCTCCCTGTCCCTCAATTTTATGAACGAAGAAACTGAGCCACAGAGTTAAGTGACTTGCCCAGGATCACATTGCCTGTATATGTCAGAGACAGGTCTGGACACGGGTCATCTTGATTTCAAGGCCAACTTTTTATCCTTTATGCAATCCTGCTGTTAAGTGCTAGTTCTGTATTGATACTGGAAAATAAATCTAAAACAGTAAATCTCTGGAGTAGGTAACTCTTCTGTATCTTAGTGAGATGACTACACAGAGAGGGGCATGTTCATGTGACACAAACCAGGCCAGTACTTTGTAAACCTTGGCTTCCCAGCTTTGGAGCTAAACAGGTGAAACTCTGCCTTTTCTTGATTTAGCTATATTTGTCAACATTCCAAGAAAGACTATAAAGAGAAATTGTTCATTTTCACCATTGTTAGGGAGGGGACATAGTGTTAGGGAGTGTAGAGGGGGTTTTATTATTGGTGCCTTTGACATCCCCTGAGAAATGACCTGTGGCACTTTCTGTTCCCAGGACCAGATATTGAGAAGATTACAGATGCAGCCTCTGGGACCAATGGAATACCTCGTCAGTTGATACCTGTGCCGTCTCTGGCCTCCCCACCTCGTCTGGATATCAGCTCTGTGCCCCCTGGGAAAAATCATGGTGAGGATAGTTGTGGTCTTCTAGGGAGCAGAAGGCTGATGGTTTCCACTTAAAGATGAATTCATCCAGTGGGAGCTGCATTGCTCATCCTTCCTCCAAAATATAAAAAAGCAACTGAGTGCTTATGTTCCTAGGACTTTGACAAGTGCTATAGAAAATAGAACAGGGCAGCTAGGTGGCACAGTGGATAGAGCACCGGCCCTGAAGTCAGGAGGACCTGAGTTCAAATCCGGCCTCAGATGAAATACTTGACACTTACTAGCTGTGTGACCCTGGGCAAGTCATTTAACCCCAATTGCCTAAAAATTTAAAAAAGTAAAAAAAAAAAAAAAGAAAATATTTAAAACAAAAAAACCATGTTTATCTAAAAGTAGGTTATGATCTGATTGTATCTCATTCAACTTCCATCTCTGTTTTCAGATATATTTGTGGTGAATGTGGTGGTGGTCCACACCTGTCTTAGACCATCTGTGGTTCTCCTGTAGTTAGGGGTATGTGTGTGTGTAAAAAGCCTCTGCTTGTGTTTATTTGACCTCTTCTTTTACAGATGTTTTTTCAGAGTCTGATGATGAAGGAACCTGTTTAAAGACCCGTATCATGGGGTTGACTCAGAAAGCCCCAGACCCGTCTGTCCATGTTGAGAAGAAAGTAGATGGGAATGCAGGTGGCCCTGAGAAGACCAAATTAGGTCAGCGATGTTCAGACTTAGGTAAGCTCAGCATTCTTCTAGTCTGTAGGGGACCTTCATTCTCCCTTTTTTCTGTTTTATGGGAAGTGATGGAATGGCTCCGAAACACATTGTGGCTGGCAATAATTGGAATTTGTTATCTAATTAGTGTGTCAATTATCTGTCACATCATGGTGTGGTAGAAAGATTGCTGGATTTTGAGTCAGAAGACCTGTGCTCAGGTGTCTGTCACTTAGTAGCTATATGACTGTAGTCAATACAGACTCTCTGAGCCTCAGTTTTTTTACCTATAAAATGGGGGAAATAATCCTTCAATCAAAAAGTGCTATAGAAGAGTGAGTTACCATTATTATCCTGGTCTTTTGCTTCTCTTGCTTTCCTTTTGGCCACATTGGTGTATGTTACCACCATATAGATTGAAGGTGTCAAACTTCACTACAAAACTCCAGGTGCTACTGGAAACAGATTAAAATATCTTTGGAAAATGTTTAACAAAATAAAAATACAACACAATATATAGATAATGTTAATTTGTAGTTTTCTAAATCTATTGACTGTGGTCCGAAGGGATCTGTTTCTATTTGAGTTTGATACCTCTGGTATAGATCACTCCAGTATCACTGATGGTGATTTTTATGGGTCCTCAGTACCAGGTCTCAGATTTTCCAAGTGAAGGACAAAAAAGAAATTTTCCAGTTAAAGATTATTTTCCTTGGGGGGTTGGGGGATGAAGGGTGATTGAGAGAGAATGGCCAGACTTTGATCCTGTACCTACTCTTTGTCCTTTGGCAGATACTGGCAATGGCAGGATTGTGGAACCCCACAACAATGTTCGCCCTGATTCCTACAAACATTTTATTGCTCGTTTCAAAGCATCTACCCTTCCCAAGGTAACTTGGCAAGGGATGGGGGTGGGAGTGGGGGTCCCATGTGAAGGGATAGAGGCCCAGAGAAGTTAAATGATTTGCTAGGGTCACACACTATGTTATTAATTGAACTGAATTTCCTGTTATCCTTCCTGTTAAAACCATATTACCTTTTACACACCTTCAGGTCAGCTGTGTTTCCATTTCCCTCACCCCCACGTCCATTCTGTCACGAAGTCCTTCTAATTCTACTTCTGTAGTATCTCTTGATTCTTTCCCTTCCTTCCCACTTCTGCCACTCCTTTAGGCCACGTCTTTATCACCTCTTTCTAGCCTACTGTCATAGGCTCCTCGATGGTGTTCTGGTCTTTGGTTCTTTCCCTCCTCCAATTCAGTATTCATACCCAACCATTTCCTTTAATTTTCCTAATGATCAGAGTTATCATTAGGATATCTGATATAACATATCGGAGTTATGTATTGCTCTTTGTTCAAAAACTTTCAAGGATTTCCCTTAGCATATTGACTAAAGTTTATGCTCCTTAGCCTGTCCTTCAAGACCTTTCACCATCTGCTTCCAACTTACCTTTCCAGCTTTATCTTACTTTAATCCTCTTCATAAACTTCAAACTCTAGCTAAACTTATTGTTTATTAACTTTTTAAAAAAGTTTTATACATGCTTTTTTAATTTTAGTTATTTCCTGACATACAGTCCCCTCCCCCAGCCCATATACAACCCTCCCTTGTAATGAACAAAAACAGATAAGCAAAACTTGTGGACGCATCAGCTGTGCTGGATAGCATAGACAGTGATTCCACACTAGTAGTTCCTCCAGTCTCTACCAAGAGGAAGGCCCCTCCTTGTTTCTTGAACTTATCATGCCTTCTCTTGCCCAGAGCCTTTACTTTACCATATCCTGCAGCTGGAATGGACTCTTCTTTACCTCAACTCTACCTATTATCCATCTAGCAAACATAAATTAAAGGCTTATGTTATGAATGTACTGTACTGGGTGCAAAAGAATGTATAAAGGCACGTGAGACATGGTTCCTACCCTCTGTTAAATTGCTTTCTTTCCTACAAGGACTAACTCTGCTGACACTTCTCTGGAGTCTTCCCTTGTTCCCCACAGTTCGATGTAATCTTTCTGTCTTTGAATCTTTTACTTGCCATTTTTTCTAGTTTGTAGTAATTGTGATCTCTGTACCTGTCTTACTTACCCTTATAGACCGTAAACTTTTTGGGAGCAGGAACTGTGTCTTAGTTTCATCTTTGCGCCTTCCTGGCACATAAAGCCCATGTAGCAGGAGCTTAATAAATATTTGTTGGATGTGCATGAGTTTGTGCGTATATGATAACAGGGAAGAGGAGGGTGTGTGTGTGTGTGTGTGTGTGTGTGTGTGTGTGTGTGTGTGTACTCATTTGCCTGAAATACAATAGGTCTTGTATATAGTATGTCTTGTAAATGTGATATTTGTTTTCTTTCAGAAAATCACCTTCCCAGAAAACAACTGTGAGCATTTGAGGCTGAAAGCTGTTGTGGGTTATAATGGAAACGGAAGGGGAAACATGGTCTGGAGACCAGATACAGGTAGGGCCCGGCTTAGGAAAAAATGGACCTGGTCTTAGGAAATTGGAAGTAAGGGAAAGATATCACAAGTCTAGTCTAGGTGTCCTGAACTCAGTTTGGTGCTAAAGAACTAAAGAGTACTAACTGGTAGCTGTTGAGGAATTAATGCATTGGAAGTCTCTTTCCCAATATAATCTCATATTGTCAACTGCCCAGGATTTTTTGTGACTTAAATATGTCGAAGCTTTTTGAAACTAACATGACTACATGGTCCTGATCGTTCCAGTTCAATACACTTATTCTGAATTTTAAAAATATTTTATTGATGTCTTTTTCTGTCATCTTCATTTCTGCATATATTGTATATATTCTTCCTTCTTCCCCTCCTAAGTGAACCATCCCTTGTAATGAAGAATAAAAAAGAGGGAAAAAAAGCAGCCCAGCAAAACTACCAACATATTAACCAATATACTGACAGTATGTATATTTGATGTTCCATGCCTATAGGCTGCCCACCTCTCCAAAGGGAGAAAGGTTCATTTATTTTTATTCTCCTCCAGGGTCAGGCTTGGCCATTAGAATTATGTAGCATTTAGTTTCAGAGTTCGGGGCTTTTTCCATTTATGTGGTTTCAGTCATTGGTTCTGTTTACTTTTCATCAGTTCATATAACTCTTGGCACATTTCTCTGAATTCTGTTCATAGTTGTCATTTCTTATGGCACAGTGTTCCATTACATTCCCATATTTCATTTTACTCAGCCGTTCCCCAATCAGTTAATACCTATTTTGTTTCCATTTCTTTCTTACTGCAAAAAGTGTTGTGATGAATATTTTAGTGTACATGGGGCCTTTCTGTCCTTGACCTCCTTAGGGCATATGCCTAGCAGGGATCTCAGGGTCAAAGAGTATGGATCTTTTAGTCACTTTCTTAGCATAATCCCAAATTGCTTTGTACAATAGATTGACCAAGTCACAGCTCTGCTATACAGTGTACTGGTGTACACTGTTAGAGGTGCTGTACTTCTTTCTCCACAGGGCCTCCAACATTGGCTTTTCTCATTTTTGCCAGTTTTCTAGGTGTGAAATTAAACCTCAGAGTTGTTTTTTATTTGTATTTCTCTTATTAATGATTTGAAGCAATCTTTCATATCGTTGTTAATAATTTGTAATTCTTCATTTGAGAATTGTTTGTTTATATCTTTTGACCACCGACCATTAGAGAACGGTACTGGTCATTCATGTTTGTCATATTTACTTTATATCTTGTATGTCAGATCCTTGTCAGAGATGTCTGATGCAAAGATATTCCCACAATCAACAGCTTTCTTATCCTAGTTGCATTGATTTGATTCATGAAAAAGCTTTTCCATTCCATGTAATTTACATCATCTATTTTATCTTTTGTGATCTCCTCTATCCCTTATTTGGTAAAGAACTCTCCCTTTAGCTATTGCTGTGAAAGTGTACCCCAGATTTTTGAGGAAGTGACTATGTTAGAGGCAGGGTGGTGTAATGAATAAAGTGCTGTACTTGGAGTCAGAAAGACCCAGATACAAATCCCACCTCTGACACTCACTTGCTACATCTCCATGGCCAAGTTGCTTAACTTATCAGTTTCCTCCTCTGTGAAATAGAGATAATGGTGAAGGGGATAATAGCATCAACCTCCCCTTGCTGTTGTGAAACTGAAATGAGATAGGTAAAGAGCTTTGCAAACTTTAAAGTGCTACGTAAGTATTATTATTTGATGACCTTTTGTAATTTCTGGGGAATTCTGTGGATTTGACAAGACTGAGCTGTTGTGCACCTTTAGGAAATCTTTTAAAATTAAATTTAAGGTAGATAGGGAGCCCTTTCCTCTGAACTTAGTCGCTGTGCTCTCTAGTAATGCTTTTCCTGTTTTGCTGTCCCTCCATACAGGCTTTTTTGCATATACCTGTGGATGTGTGATTGTAGTGGAAGACCTGCACTCTGGTTCCCAGCAGCACTGGCTGGGCCACCCCGAGGAAATCTCAACTTTAGCTGTCAGACACGATGCCCAGGTACCTATGTCTGAGAGTCTGCAACCTCAACTGAACTCCTCAAAGCCACAACTAGACTTAGTCTTGCCAAAATTTTCTTTATTTACTATAAGCCAGCATGACTCTCCAGGGAAAGCTTGACCCCTGTTCCCATCTAAGTCCAGATTCTTCACAAAGTGGTTGCCATACTGCCTGTGCAGAATGTTTAGGATGTGTCTGGTCCTTCTCTGTTGTCAGAAAGTCTAGCAATAATTACAAACAGGAAGAAAGACAACAGTGGTAGCCCAGCTCTCTCCTGAGGAAGCATGATGGCTAACCAGATGGAAGAGGCCAGGTCTAGCTTGAGGGTCACTGTGTCATGGGGAGGAGCACTGGCTTTAGAGTTGTAAGATTTTGGTTCCCAGCCCTCTCACTTACTAGCCACATGACTATGGACAAGCTATGTCACCTCTCTGCTCCTCAGTTTCCTCATCTGTGAAACAGGGATAACTTTTCACTGCCCACGTCACAGGATGGTTGTGGGAAGTATGTTTTGTGAATTATAACGTGATTAATAAGTGTGAACTATTATCATTTTTAGATAATTAGATAAGAAGAAAGGCCAAATTAGGCTTGTGAATTCAACAGATTTAGACATTTATTAAGTTCACTAGGGATACAAAGGTTTTAAAGTGACACAGTCCCTGCTTCAAGCAGATTACATTCTATTGGATGGGAGGGTGGCCGAGGTGAGGTTTGTAGATACAACACGTGCAGATGTATCACATTCTTTTATAATAAAGAAAATCTTAGCTGGGATGGGATTTGGAGTTTGATATGAGTACTCTATCAATCTACAAACATTTATTAAATAACATTTATTAAGTGTCATGTGTCTGAGGTTGGATTTGAACTCAGGTCCTCCTGATTCCAAGGCCAGAGCTCTATCCACTGTGTCACCTAGCTGTCCCTCCTTTTTTTGGGGGGGGGCAAGTGGGGTTAAGTGACTTGCCCACGGTCACACAGCTAGTAAGTGTCAAGTGTTTGGTCTGAGGCCGGATTTGAACTCAGGTCCTCCTGACTTCAGGGCTGGTGCTCTTTCCACTGCACCACCTAGCTGCCCCCCTCCTTTTGTTTTTTGAGAAGCAGCTCAGACACCATCTACTGAATAAAGCCTTTCCTTATTCCCCCAACTGCTAGTGTCCTCCCATCTACACCACCGAGTGTATGTGTATGTATTCACACATACATATTTTTATATATTTGCATTTATTTGTTGTATATATTTTCATGTGTGCTTATTGCTTCCTTCATTAAAATGTAAACTCATTTCAGGAAGGAATTGTTTCATTCTTTTTACTTGCCCCAGCATTTAGAACAGTGCGTAGTGCATATTAAAACCTTAATAAGTATTTGTTGATTATTTGATTGAAATATTGACTCCCTCTTTGCAAGAGATTGTTTATATCTCATGCTCATTGTGAAAGACCCAGTTTCCACGAAAACCTGCAGAAAGTTATGATTTAGGGTTCAGACTACATACAACTTCTGCTTCCCACAAGGGTTACATTTCTCTCCCTACTTTAGGGAAATTGGTTGGGCACCATAGAAGGATAGGGTTAGAATAAGGTTAATTAATAGGTCAATAAACTGTATACTTCTCCTTTTTCATTGTATGTCTTCTGTTCTTATTTGTGTAAGTGCTGTTATCCAGGGCCTTTGTTTTTCTTTCCTGTCCCCTGAATTTATTTTGCTTCTAATTGGTGCAGTTACCAGAGAGAAGATGAAGAGGTAAATCTCAAATCAGTGAATTTCACCACTTAGTAGCAATTTGTTTTTGCACATAGTGTTTTTTGAACCTGTTAGCAGAGATAGTGAAGTTGGTGCCATTTATAGATTAACTGTGGGTTAAAATTCCTTTCTGTTTTTCCTGTATCCCCATGGATATGTATAATAGTGTGAATTCTAACTGACATGTGTGTTTGTGCCCTGACATTATATCTTTCAAAGTCTGTTACTTACTGGACAAAGAAGAGGTTGGTCTATTGGATAGCGCCTGTAATGAGGTTTTTTGTTTGTTTGTTTGTTTTTTGTTTACCAGGTCCTTGCTTCTGCCTCAGGCTGGGGGAATAAGAGCTCTCGTTGTCAAATCCGAATCTGGGATGTGCCAGAGGGGACTTGCCGCAAGGTTCTGTTTCATCATGAGACTGAGGTGCAAGCCATGGCGTATTCACATAATGATCGACTTTTCATCACTCTGGGTTAGTAGCAAGGATATCCAGAGTTCAAGCCCAGCTTCTTGTCTTTTAACATTTGGCCAAGGGTAATATGAAATTATCGCTTAAGAAATGACCAAAAAAAAAGATTTATTTCATTCACTGATTGTCTTTTGGGTGTAGGGGTGGGCTGAGAAAAAAATTGTATTTGTAAGGGCAGCTAGGTGCCACAGTGGATAGAGCGCTGGCCTTGGAGTCAGGAGGACCTGAGTTCAAATCCAGCCTCAGACATATCATACTTACTAGCTGTGTGACCCTGGGCAAGCCACTTAACCCCGATTGCCTTACTGAAAAAAAACCCCCAAAAAAACAAAAAAAGAAAAGAAAAAAATTGTATTTGTTTATGGGGACCTCACCTGTAGTGTTTCTTCCCTGGCCTCTTCTAATAGCAAACGGTCTGGCTTAAAGTCCATCTTTGGCAAACTAGAGACTTCTAGATACCATCCTACAATCCAATCTAATTCAGCAAGCCCTCATTAAATGCTTTACAGTATATGCAATCTGACCATGTCACTGTGTTAGATGCCAGGTTTGCAAAGACAAGCCAAAAACACATTGTCTGCCTTCAAAGAGTTTATATACTGGGGACTTTGAGTTCTAACATCTGACTTGCAGGGGATTACAGCGACCGCACCATTGCCCTCTGGAATGCCTTCACCTATGAACTGATGTCCTCCACCCGATTAATGGAGCCGGTTCATGAAGTGGCATTTAATCCTTTTAGTGCTAATGAGCTTGCTTGTGTGGGCCAGGGAGCTATCACCTTCTGGCTCGTGAAGCACTGGGGAGCTGACATCAACCTCCAGGTATCATAGAGTCTTTTACCCCCTTCTTTTCTGACAGGTCAGGGAGTGATTGCTTGGGGTAACCTTCTGGTATTCAGAGGCTGTGGGTGGTTGTGGAACGTTGTTTGCCCCTGCTTTCTCCTAGTTTTTCATGAGTACCAGCATTCACCTTTTCTGATAAAATACCCACAATCAAACCTCATCACAATCCGTAACATCAGTTGATGTTTCTTATCTTTGGGTCAGGTCCACAGAGTTCCTGTTCCTGAGGAAATAGGACCAGTAGAACTGACATCAATTTGCTACAGCATCATCCCCTTACTCTACAGTGGCACCAACACTGGACAGATCTGTGTCTGGGACATAGGCACCAACCGTTGTTTTATGACCTGGGAGGCTGATGAGGGTGAGATTGGTGAGTAGATACAATGTGAAACCTGCTTAGAGCTAGTTATTATTCCACATGAAGCAAGAAAAGCTTGCCCTCTGTTCAGTTGCTTCTGGGATTGTTACTGGTAGTGGACTTTATTTCATTTTCCACCTGATTTTTCTGACTAAATGAATGAATGAATGAAGCATTTATTAAGTTCTGGCTATATGCCAAGCACTGGATGAAGTAGGCTCTGTTAGGAGCAAGTGTTAAACCTTGGAGATACAAATAGAAAAGTTAGATAGTCCCTGCTTCTCAAGGAGCTCACAGTTGATGGAGGAGACAGCATCTACAGAAAGTTTCAGCTGCAAATGCAACAGAAAGGTTCTGTGGCCCATCAGGCCTGATGGCAAAGCAGATGGTGATGCCTCTTCTTCAGTTTCATTTCCATTGACAGAATCATACTTTTTTGTTTTTTTTTTTACTTAATTTACTTTTAGTTTTCAACATTCACACCCATACGCTTTTGAGTTTTAAATTTTCTTCTCCTCCTTCCCTGCCTCCCTTCCCAAGATGGCGTGTAATCTGTTATAAGCTCTATATATACATTCCTATTAAACATATTCTCACATTAGTTATGTTGTAAAGAAGAATTAGAACTAATAGGAGGAACCATAAGAAAGAGGAAACAAAACAGAAGAAAAAAAAGAGCAAATAGTGTACTTCAAGTTACATTCAGACTCTATAGTTCTTTCTCTGGATGCGGACAGCATTTTCCATGATGAGCCTTTTGGAGGTATCTTAGATCCTTGCATTGCTGAGAAGAGCTAAGCTATCAAAGTTAGTGATCTCACAATGATCACACTTATTTCTGATGCTAAGCCCTTTAATGGTGCCAATGACTTTGGTGATAAGTACTTACTTTTTTGGGTCTTCAGTAACTGTGACTGCATCCCATGCAGGTACAGTTTCTAGGCTGTGTCTCCATGGAGGCTACCTCCCAGTGTGATGACTGAGGGGAGGCCATTGGTCTGGGAGGCCATGGCTGTTCCTGTGGCTCTTGGGTTCTGGGCCCTGGGCTACCCCCATCATGATCTGAGGGGAGATGATAGTCAGGGCGGTGATGGCCTGGGCATAACCCAAGAGATCTAGATCTGTGACTTACCTGAGGCTGTTTGAGGTTTCGAGCTTTTGGATCATTATTCAACCCAGAAAATTACCAAAGAGCATTCCAAAGATCCCTTCTAGCTTTCACATTCAATTCAATTCAACAAGCATTTATTAATCACCTATTACATGCAAAGCACTGTGCTAGGTCTTACAGCTACAAAGACAAAATGAAAAGTCGTCCAAAAGTTGTGGGAAAAATGTGAAAAACACGGCACAAATACTCATTGTCTTTTTTTAAAAATAAGTTTTTATTGATATCTTCTGTTTTTTACATCATATATCTCTAGTAGTCTTCCCCCTCCTACTCCCAGAGAGCCATCTTATATGACAAATGGTATTTTTTTTTTCTTGGCTAGGCAGTGGGGTTAAGTTTCTTGCCCAGGGTCACACAGCAAATAAGTATTATGTGTCTGAGGTCAGATGTGAACACAGGTCCTCCTGACTTCAGGGCCGGTTCTCTATCCACTGCGCCACCTAGCCACCCCTGATAAACAGTATTTTTTAAAGAGTCCAAAAACACGTGCGGTATATAACACCTGTGGACCTCCCAGCTCTATGAAGAGGGACGTTCAAGTCCTGTCTGATCTTCATAATTTTGTAGTTACTTTTGATTTTACGGTATGTCGTTGCTCTTTCCATTGACGTTGTTGTAATTACTGTGTGTGATGTTTTCTTGGCTCTGCTCACTTCACTCTGCATCAATTTATATAGGTCTTTTATGCTTCTTTGTATTCAACACATACATCATTTCTTTTTTTATTTTTAGTTTTCAACATTCACTTCCATAAGCTTTTGGGTTTTAAATTTTCTCCTCCTCTCTTCCTTCCCCCCACCCCAAGATGGCATGCAATCTGATTAGGCTCTACTTATACATTCATATTAAACATATTTTCACATTAGTTATGTTGTAAGGAAGAATTAGAACCAATGGGAATAACCATAAGAAAGAAGAAACAAAACAAAACAACAAAAGAGAAGGAGAGCAAATAGTATGCTTTGATCTGCATTCAGACTCCACTCTTTGGATATGGATAGCATTTTCCATCATGAGTCTTTTGGAGTTATCTTAGATCCTTGCATTGCTGGGAAGGGCTAAGTCTATCACAGTTGATCATTGCACAATGTGGCTGTTACTATGTACATTGTTCTCCTGGTTCCGCTCATTTCACTCAGCATCAGTCCATACAAGTCTTTCCAGGTTTTTTTGAAGTCTGCCTGCTCATCATTTCTTATAGCATGATAATATTCCATTACATTCATATACCACAACTTGTTCAGCCATTTTCCAACTGATGGGCAGCCCTTCAATTTCCAATTCTTGGCTGCCACAAAAAAGAGCTGCTATAAATAGTTTTATACATATTGGTCCTTTTCCTGTTTTTATGATCCCTTTGATGATACAGCCCTAGAAGTGGTATTGCTAGTTCAAAGGGTATGCACATTTTTATAGCCCTTCGGACATAGTTCCAAATTACTCTCCAGAATGGTTGGATCACATACATCCTGTCTTTCTTTTTTTTTTTTTTTTTTATTTTTGCTAGGCAGCAGAGTTAAGTGACTTGCCCAGGGTCACACAGCTAGTAAGTGTCAAGTATTTGGTCTGAGGCCAGATTTGAACTCAGGTCCTCTTGACTTCAGGGCTGGTGCTCTATCCACTGCACCACTTAGCTGCCCCACATACATCCTTTCTTACAGCACAATAATATTCCAGTACATTCATGTACCACAGTTCATTTAGCCGTTCCCCAGTTGATGGGCACCTGATTTGTTTCTAATTCTTTTGGGGACTTTTTTCTTATAAATGGTTTTCTTTGGGGTATAAGCCCAGAAATGGAATCTTTGGTTCAAAGGGTATGGTAGTTTTAGTCACCAACAATGTATTGGTGATATTGTCTATTCTAATGTCCTCCCAAGCTCTCCCAGTCTCTATATCCTAAGAGCCCTTTTAACAATAATATTCTATGGTTCTCTGGCCAGTTCAAGACCCAAATTGAGGAAATGGATTCATTTTTTCCTGATGTCCTAGGTGTGCTTCTGTGTTCTGGAAACCGGCTGGTCAGTGGCAGCAACACTAAGCGGATCCGCCTGTGGGCAGTGGGAGCAGTGCAGGAGTTGAGGATGAAGGGTTCCGGGGCAAGGTGAGATAGGTATCCTGAATACCAAATAGTCATTCATTCATTCAGTAAACATTTACTAATCACTGTGTACCAGGAACTGGACTAGGCACTAGATACCCATTACCAGCTGCTTCTTCCTGAGAAGAAGAGTCGATTTCAGGATTCCAGAGCTTGGGACTCAGTTGTCTGGCTGTCTCAGTATGTAGGATTGACCCAAATACTGTACTGCCACTTTGGCTCATGGGGTGTCTAGAGAAGGGCTATTAAATCATGTCTCTCTGAGTGATTCTGTGCTTCTCTTTCTGACTCACAGAATCAGCATTGTAGAGCTGGAAAGGATTTAGAGACCTTCAGAGCCAGCCTCAGATATACCTCATTTCATAACTTTCGTTTTTTCTTTTCTTTGAAAAAAATATCCGTTAACTATTTATCTTTTAGGATGTTCTTGTTCTTATAAATTTGAATCAATGAAAAAATGCTCCAAATCACTAATAATGAGAGAAATTCAAATTGAAACAACTTTTTTTTTTCCATTTCACACCTATCAGATTGGCAAAGATGACAAAAGGAAAATGATATTTGTTTGAGGGGCTTTGGGGAAACTGGTGCGGTAATAGACTGTTGCAGCTGTGAGTTGGTGCAGCAGATCTGAAAAGCAATATGGAATCATGCCTCCATAGTCACTAAAAAGTACATACCCTTTGACTCAGCATTTGACTAAAGGCTTGTACCCCGAAGAGAGCCAAGAAAGAGGAAAAGAAGCCCCGTTTACAAAAATGTTTATAGCAGCTCTTTTTTTTTTTTAGCATAGTATAGCACAGATCCACATTCTTCAGATACCTAGACATGGGGTCAGGACTGAGCTCCCTTCTCGTCCTCCACTACCCCTTGCCTTTGGCTGAGTGGCTGGATCCTCTGTATCTGAGCCCATGAAAGGGGACTGGCAAGTAAAGAGATATGGTTGGGAATGGGGGCCAGGTAGTTTATTGGGCTATAGTGATAGGATTCAGGTTAAGGAAATGAGTGGTCATGTTTGCGGAGAGGTGGGTAGGAAAGGGAACAATGAAGAGTATAGGACTGTTTCTCTGTCTTTGCCTGGGGACTGTGAAGTTAAAGAAAATGATGGTGCTTTGGGGAGTGCTGAGCCTTTCGATTTCCCGTTTTTGAAGAGCAGATCAATCTCCAAGTTTTTATTAAAGTGTCTACTATGTACCAGGAATTGTGCTAGGGGTACAAAGACAAGAATGAAATAGTCCTTGCCCTCTAGGAGCTTACATTCTGTAGGCAGAGAGACTAGGTACAACATGTGCACGTATAAGCTATAGATCTGGGAATTAAAAGAGTCTTCAGGGCAGCCTTCTTACTAGAACTTCCTGGAGTGAGAGTCTTACTTTTAGATTCCAGCTGTATTTCGAAAGGTAAATGCTTTACACCAGTTTCTCCAAATTCTGCTTCCTAGAAATCCTACAAATCTTTGTACAGAAAGAGGGAGCAGCTAGGATAGACCCAGAGGTCATCCCCCAGGGCAATGACTAAAGCCTGGTTACCTGGCTGAGTCTTCTCTGCATGATGTTCCATACTTTGGCATAGAATTCCTTTGGGTTGGTTTAGGGACTTAACTACCTGGGTAATTTATTTTTTGTGGTGTGCTTCTAACAATTGGCTCATTTAAAAACAAGTCCCTCCCCAAAAAATTTAAACTAAAATAAAATAAAAACAAGTCCCATTTTAGCATATGAAGCCTGTATTAAATGATTGACTCATTCATTCGCAGATATTTTGTCAGCACCTGTGCTGTGCTAGATGCTGGGAGATGCACAACGATAAATAAAACATGGTTCCTGCCCTAGAGAAGCTTCTGCTGTAATAGAAGTGATTAGATATTTAGACAGATAAAAGTAAACCAAATTAGAATATTACAAGTGCATAAGAGGAATGAATCTAAAGTGCTCAAAGATCACCTGAAGGAGAAATTGCTTCTAGCTAGGTGGTTATCAGGGAAGGCTTCATGGAGGATTTTTAGCTGATCCTTGAAAGTCTCTTCCTACTGTCTTAGGAACCCAGTACCCCTGTGACCTGCCTCTCCCTTGGCATAGGTAATCTCTTCCCAAATCAGAACTAAGAAGCTTTTATAATACCATGATTAAGATATGTTGCATGAGATAATAATAACGGCAGCTAATATTTATATAACTCTTTACTATGTGCCAGGTGCTGTGTTGAGCACTTTACAAATATTTTTGCATTTGATCCTTATGACAACCCTGTGAGGTAGGTGAAGTTATTATTAGCACTTTCCAGTTGAAGAAACTGAGGCAAACAGAGGTTAAGTGACTTGCCCAGGGTCACACAGCTAGGAGGTATCTGAGGTCACATTTGAACTCAGGTCTTTGTGACTGCAGGCCTGCACCAGCAGCTGAGTTTACAGCTTCTCATCACCACACTTTGAGGCTGCATTGGCGTGGGAAGCCCTGGGACACAGCCTGTTAAAGGCCCAGCTCCTGACTTTCTGCCTGTACATTGCTTCTCTCCAGGAATGGCTCAGAGCACATCTAGGGCTTACTGGCTCTGACTTGTCGTGACCCACACCACCTAACTATAACTCTCCTCTATACATTGGCTGGAATTATTCACTCTGTAGCAGGGGTTCCTAATCCAGGGGCTGTGAACTTGTTTTTAATAATATTTTTATAATTATATTTCAGTATAATTGGCTTCTTTTGTAATCCTTGGTATTTTATTTTGTGCACATGATTCTGAGAGGGGTCTGTAGACTTCACCAGACTGCCAAAGGAGTCCATGACACAAACAATGTTAAGAGCCCCTGCCCTTTAGTCACTGACCTGAATCAACTCTTCAGTCTCTTCCTCAAGGTCTCCATGCTTCTTTGACCACCTTTGTGCTCCTGTTAGCCTCTGCAAACACTTGGCAATTTTCTTCTTCTTTCCAGCTCCTTAGAACCAAAACACCCTCTATGATCCTTCCACTCCCAGGCCAGCCTGTCAACCTAAAAAGTGACCAAATATCACCTGTGTGGTACATGCTGACTTTGCTACAGGCCTATGAAGTCTGGAGTATTGAGTAGCTACATCTCCCTCTGCATGGCTGAATGTCCTTTGGGCACTGTGGCATGTCGAGCTCCTGACAAACAAGAGAACTAGCAGGTTGATAGGCAGAGATAGGAAGGGAGGACATTCTTGGCATAGAAGAGACTAGTAACAAAGACACAAATGGGGGGACTATACCTAGTCTAGTTTGGCTGAAGCATAAAATAATAGCAAGGAGGTAGTGTCAGATCAAGTAGGATCCACGATGTGTGTTGGAGGGAGCAGGTGGGGAGGGACACGGTTCTTGAATGCCAAGCGGCTGGGAAATTTGAGCTTCATCCTAAAAATTTTTGAGCGAGACATTGATCAAATTAGGCGTATTAGGCGTAACCAATATAATATCCATTAGTTCCTTCAGACCATTTGCTTCCATCTTTCCCATTATCTGTCCAGTTCCTTTTTTTTCCTGCCAGTTTGAAATTTCCAGACTTCTTGTTGCTCCTCAGGTCCAGCTCTGTCTTTATGGAACAAGAGATGACTCTGGATGGTGCTGTGGTCAGTGCCAGCTTCGATGATAGCTTGGAAATGGGCATTGTGGGCACAACTGCAGGCACACTGTGGTATGTCAACTGGGCTGAGAGGACCAGCATCCGCCTCATCAGTGGCCACAGAAACAAGGTAAAGAGTCAGAAGGCATGGTTAGGGTGTGCAGGTACTTTGTCAAGGCTCAGCATGTCACGTCAGCAGAGAAATTAATGTATTGCTAGTGCCGTGTCAGCCAAGAATGCATGAGCTGTCTTCCCCTACAGCCTTATTACAAACAGATTTATTCTTTACTGGGCTGCTGTCTCTGATCATGTCTTGTTCAAATGTAGGAGAAATGAAACTTGGAAGATGGGGTTTTATGTCATTTCGGAACTGCAGGGGAAAACTTTCCAAAGGGAAGGTTGCCAGATGAGACATTCACTTATCTACCTGAACTTCTTTGAGGCACCTCAGATGCTTTAAAAACACAATTCTGATTCATCTTCAAAGAGTATCTTTTATTTTATATGTGTCCCTACCATGACTATTAAGATGGTATTATCACATTGATTATTAATATAGTGTTTTCAGCACAACTGATTGACTGGCCTCACAGTTGTTAAAGAGGGGCAGGGCAGGGCACATGATGACAATCCAGTCCTTTGTAGTAGCTAAATTTCTCTCGTGTGTGAGAGAAAGGAGAACGTTCATGTATGCCACACCAGCATCTTCCTTCCCTGTTCTTGCAGGTGAATGAAGTGACCTTTAGTCCTACTGAGTCCCACTGTGCAACTTGTGGTGATGATGGCAGTGTGCGGGTGTGGTCCTTGACCATCATGGAGCTGGTGGTACAGTTCCAGGTGCTGAATCAGGTACTCTCAGGACAGAGCTAAGTGATGTCCATTCACATGGAACACACTCTCCTTGGAGCCAGGGACTCAGTGGATATTGGGGACCATCCCTCATCACAGGGTGCTAGAGCCCTAAGTTGGGAGTGTGCTCCAGCCCTGGGCTGCATTATTCTTCCCGAATCTTTTCTATGCCCCACACATGGCTTTTGAAGGGAAGGGTGAGCTGAGGCCCTACATCTTTCTACTCTTAGGGAGCCTGAAGAGATGGATTGCCTAAAGGGACTGAAATAGGAGGGTGGAGTAGTGGGTTGAAGCTAACAAGATGAAATTTAACAGGGGTAAATATAAAATTATATACTTCTAAAAGATTATCTGTGCAAGGACAGAATGGGAGAGACGTGGCTAGAAAGTAGTTTACGTGGGAAAGAGACCAGAGAGTCTTAATGTTTGCCAAATTACATCTCCCTTCTCTGTAGATATGGGGTGAAACACAGTGTGATGTAGCAGTCAGAAGAGCTTATTCTCTATTGTGGCTTAGACTGCATTAATGGAAGCAGAGTTTACATAGTAAAGGGAGTGATAGCTGGGGGCAGCCTGTCCATGCATGTCTCTTTCTCTTAGAGTTGTTTGTGTCTGGCCTGGAGTCCGTCGGCCAGCAGCAGAGCTGACCACCAGCAAGTGGTGGCAGGCTACAGTGATGGCACAATCCGTGTATTCAGCATTTCCCGGACAGAGATGGAGCTGAAGATGCACCCTCACCCAGTTGCACTGATGGCCATCTCCTTTTCTGTGGATGGTGAGGGTTAACCCAGTGTTTTCTCTGGGAATCAGGTTCTGGCTTCCTTGGGACTTCTGTCCTCCCCAGGTGGCAGTAAGCTTAGGAGAGCCCCCAGTCTGCTGAAGCTGAGTGGTAGCTTTCTCTGTGGTCTCTGTGGTCTTGGTAAGGATGAGGAAGAGCTGATGAAGTAGAACTCACCTCTCCAAATGGGTGTAAATATGGCAGAGTCAAAATGGTCCTGGGATCATGGCCGGGAGATGTTGGCTTCATCTCTGTTCTTTTCACCTATTAGCTAGATAGTCTCAGGCAAGTCACATAGCCTTCCTCAGCCTCACTTTTCTCTGCCCCTTCTGCCTCAGTGGTTGTGAAAAGAGTATGTTATGAGCTGTAAAGCACTAGGTAAATGTGAGTTAGGGCAGCTAGGTGGCACAATGGATAGAGTGCCAGGCCTGGAGTCAGGAAGATCTGAGTTCAAATCCAGCCTCTGACACTTACTAACTATATGATCCTGGGCAAGTCACTTACCCCTGTTTACCACAGTTTCCTCATCTGTAAAATGACCTGGAGAAGGAAATGGAAAATCATTTCAGTATCTTTGCCAAGGAAATCCCAAGTGGGGTCATACAGAGTTAGACACCACTAAAACAACATAACACAAAATGTGAGTTATTTATTATTAAATTACACTTTTTTTCAGGACTGTCTATAGTTATTTTCCCTCAGTATAGAGAATTTTTAACTTGTGTCTTTTCTAGTTAACTAATCTTGAATGTTCTTTGATTTCTTTCTTTCTTTGAGCTTCAGTTTACCTATCTATAAAATGAAATGAAGATGTTAACCTTTAAGCCTGTGTTTAATTTTATCCTCTTTCTGCCTACCCACCATCACAATTTCAAGGTATCATAGCAATCAGAATTTTAAAATACATCTAAGGAGCCTTAGTATTTTACGAGACTTAGTTTAATCATAGGAGCAGGGAGTGCTGTATGCCGACAGTCCTGTCTACTCTTCCCAGTAAACAGAGCTTTTTATTCCCTCCTTTGCTGTGATACATGTGACATTATTTCACCCAACCTCTCCTTACTGCATCATCGTACCATCCCACCCTCTCTTCCCTCCTTCCAAGTCCCTTTTTGTATGGACCCCTACTAGAAAGTAAGGGTAAACCCTATTAGCACACAGGCATCAAACCTTTTTGAAAAGAACATTTTATTTGTTTTAATCAGCCAATACCTTCTCAAACTCTCCCCACCCCTAAATGAGAACTCAGGAAAAACAAAACCCATTACAAACATATACCAAAACAACCAATCAAATAATCAGTTGATTAGTAATCAAAACAAATTTCCACATTGGCCATATCCAAAAAATATTTGTCTCATTCTGCATTCTGAGCCCTTCATCTCCATCAGGAGGTAGATATGTTTCATCATTAGTCCTCTAGGATCCTGGTTGGTTATTACCCTGATAAAAGTTCAGCACAGTAGTGTTCCATCACATTTATTGTATCATCATTTGTTCATCTGTTCCCCAATTTATGGGCACCCCGTCAGATTCCCATTCCTTGTCACCTCAAAAAGATCTATGGAGGTTATTTTTACTTCCTTTGCAATTGTTTTTGCTTAGCACTAATCCCTAATTCTGTCCTCCCTAAAATTCTCCCTCATTCCTTCTCTTTCATATTTCCCTGTTGAGTGAAATGTATTTCTGTACCCAACTGTTTGTGTGTGTGTGTATGTGTGTGTGTGTGTATGTGTGTGTGTGTGTATGTGTGTGTGTGTGTGTGTATTCCTGACATTGACTGGTTCAGATGAAGTGGTTTAAGTGTCAGCTGCTTCTCCACGCCCTGTCGTCCTTGTTTATATAAATTTCTACTTGTTGATCTTGATTATGCAAGATCATTTCCCCTAACCTTCCTTTCCTTTCTTCCAGAGTATATTCCTTTTCCCATTCTTTCCAACATTCCTAGACCTTCTGTGATTTATACTCCTTTGACCCTTGATGAAAATTGGGTTCAGAGGGGACACATGCATCATCTCTCCAGGTCAGAATGAAAGTAGTTTATGGTTGGTGTTCATTCAGATTTACCTTTTTATATTTCTCTTGACTCTTGTGTTGTTTGCACTTCAGAACTTTTAGGTAACTGATCTTTTCATCGGTAATGCTTACAAGTACTCTATTTCATTAAAAATCCATTTTTTCCCTTGTAAGATTATACTTAATTTTGCTGATTGTTATTCTTGTCTGTAAGCCTATATCCTTTACCTTCTGGAATGTTGTATTCCAAGTTCTCCACTCCTTTATAGTGATGGTTGCTAAATAGTGTGTGATCCTGAGTATGGCACTTTGGTATTACTTTAATTCTTTTTTTCTGGCTGCTTGCAGTATTTTTTCTTTGACTTGCAAGCTCTGGATTTTGGCTATGATGTTCCTGGGAGTTTTCATTTGGGAGTTTCTTTCAGGAAGTGACTGGTAGATTCTATTTCCACTTAGCCCTCTGGTTCTAAGAGCTCTGGGCAGTTTTCTTTTTAAGATATCTTAAAATATTATATCTAGGCTACTTTATTAATCATGATATTCAGATAATCCAGTGATTCTTAAATTATTTTCTTCTGTTTTCCAGATCATTTGTTTTTGCTATGAGATACCCTACATTTTCTTCTATTTTTTTTTTCAGTCTTTGGTTTAAAATTTCTTGTTTCATGGAGACTTTGGCTCATATTTGGTCCACTCTAATTTTCAGGAAGTTTGTTGCTTAGGCAAGATTTTGTACCCATTGTGCTAAGCTATTAATTCCCTTTCCAGTTCTTTCTTCCATTGCTTTCATTTCTTTTCTAATATCTTCCTCAAATGTTATCATTTTATTTATAAAAACATTTTTTACTTTTTTTTTTGAAAGACTTTGCTTCATCTTCCAGGAATTTTAGTTAAGTTTGTGCCCAACCTGTGTTTTTCTTTGAAGCATTGCTTGTAGATGTCTTGGAGTCATTCTTGTCTTCTGTGTCTTGAGCAATCTTGCCACCATAATACTTCATTATGATGGCATTCTTTTTTTGTTTGCCCATTCTTCAGCCTACTTCCTGACTTCAAACTTGCTTTTCCTTTTTTTTTTTTTTTTGGTAGAAGCATTTTATTTACACAACTGAAAGCAATTAGATGTTCAAAAGCAGCGTACAATTAAAGAGAAATCAAACCAAATAGTTTATCATGTATTGTCTTCTTTACAATTAAAACAAAAGATTTTCTACTTTCAGAAAAAAAGTCAACAAAATAGGCCATTACATTTTCTTTCTCCATAATAAGGTAAAATGACTACAAGAAATCCAGTTGAAATGGGAAAAATTGAATGGTTGCTTGCACACGTTCATTCAAAAAGGCATTAGGAAAGTGGACTAAATGGACAAATACTACTTGCTGTTTTTTTATTTTCTCAGTTTTCATTTAGAAACAATACCAGACTAGTTCCAACAATGGCACTATCACATTCCCCGTCATTTACTGGCCATGTTTGCCTCATGTTTAAGGCTCGGCTCTGCCACATTTCTGGAGGCAAGGTCTGGGCTGGTCCTGTTGCTTTCTTGAGATATTAAGTATTGTGTTATTTTAGAATCTCCGGGACAGTTGGGGGATCTGTAAGGTTTCATTGCTCCTAATGTGGTGTGATCCAGGGCAAAGTCTGATCACTGGCCCCCTGGTCTCAGTTCTGTAAGGTCCTGACCTAGGTTTGAGTCTCGGCAAGAGCTCTGCCCCTCTCAACCGCTGGGAAACTATTTGTTCAGAGTGGTAGAATTATAGGTTCCCCTTTAGTCGGGGAGTCCTGCCTCAGTTATTTCTCTGCAGGCCGGGCTATGTATTGAAAGTGAGACTCTGTTCCGAGTCTGGGTCCTAAGTCAAACTTCTTCTGCTTGCACCTGTGCTTCCTCCTTTCTTCATATACCACTCAGGGCCTCCCTGCATCACTTTGCACTGGTCCCTTTCTCTCTCTGCCCTGGATTTGTGACCCAGAACTGGGTGGTGGTCCACAAAGCTGCTAATTGGTGCCTGTCCCCATGGTAGTGTTTCTGTATGGGTCTGGGGGTTGCCAGTGTGGGACATCTTTTTGCCATCCTCTTCCTGAGTGCTGGAGTGTACATGGGCTTCACGTATTGTTTGCTTCTGGTCTGACCAGTGTTCACAGTCCTCCCTCTGTGTCTCCAAGCTGGGCTAGATGAAGGACTCACTGATTTTTTTCTAAATTTCCCCATCAAAATTTGATCTGGTTCATTTTCTAGATCTGTTTGGAGGAGTTTGTATCCCTCTGCTATCTTGGCTCTGCCTTTAGTATTAATTCTGAAGATTAATATTATACAGTTTCCACTCCCCCACCCCCTTTTACATTCCATCTTCCCTTTATCTCCTAGCAGTAGCTAAAATTTCTTTTTTAAAAATTAGTGCTGTCTTTTGTTTTTATCTCATATTTTTCAGTGTGTATCTCTCCCTTCCTCTCTTTCCAGAGATCCACCTTTTTTAATAAATAATTAAGGGGGGGGGGGCAGTGCAGTAAAGTAAAGTGTTGGCCAAACTCTGATATTATATGTGGCATTTCACCTGTATAGTCCCCTACTTCTGCAAAGAAAGGAGGGAGGTACAGCCTCAGGAGGCATCTCCTCTTTGTGGCCAGACCTAACTTTTATAATTTCACAGCGTTCGCGTTCATTTGTTCTGTTACTGCTTTTCCCGTTTACCTCGTTGTAGTCATATAAACTGTTTTCCTGTTTCTGATGACTTTTCAAGAGTTGGTGTAAGTCTTAAGCTGTAGTTCTTAGTTAGCCTCTTTGTCCTCTCATCCATCCCAGTTCCCAGGTAACCATTTCTTCAGAATGTTACCCTATTCCCTACCAAGCAAGGGTTGGGAGAGGAATGGAAGACCAGCCTTCAAGCTTCTTTGAAGTCATGCCATGTGTGATCATGCTTTGTGTCTTTGACCTGAGCTGCTTCGCACCCAGGCTTGTCTCACTCAGAAGTTTAACCCCTAGGTCACAGTAACAGAGTGGGTGGGACCACATCACTCAGTCCATTTCAGCTAGCATTTGTTAAGTGCCCACAGTGTCCTAGTTACTGAACAAGGAAAGGTGAAACCTTCTCTGCTCTCAAGGAGCTGATGTTATAAGGGTAGGAAACAGCTCCTACACAAAGAAGTAAATGTAAAATGTAGATGAAGTTCTTTGGGGGGCCGGAAGGAGACAGTAACTCCTGGAAATATCATGTAGTCACTGGCACTTGAGCTGAGCCTTACAGAAGACAGAATCAAGGCAGGATAGTCTAATATATATGGAAGGGAGGTGGAGGGCCTGCCAGTGAAAAGGGATGGAGGTAGGAGGTATAATGTTGGGCACAGAGAACATCAAAAAGGCCAGTTTGGCTGGAAAATAGTGCACAAAAGGGAATAAATCTAGAAAGATAGGTGAGGCCGTGAGTGATGGACAGAGGAGTTTGTATCTTATCCTAAAGGAAATAGGGAGCTGCTGAAAATTCCCAAGGAGGAGAGGGAATGGTCAGACCTGTGCTGTAGGACTATTTGGCAGCAATAAATCGGAGAGGAGAGTGGGCAAGGACAACAGTTAGAACGCTGTGGCCAACTGAGTCCGTCGTGAAAAGCTACATTAGTGTCCTCAGATAACTCCTCCCTTTTTCTCTTCAGTGGAATTGTTTCTCCGTGCCTTGAGAATTTGATTCTTGAGAGATTCTCTTCCTTCCTGAGCTAACTTCCTCTGAGAATTTTTTAAGTCATGAGATTTGACCTGTCCCTTTTCAGAGCTTTGTTAAATCTACTCTTTGGGAATCTACAGTGCATGTGTTCTCCTACCACAAATTCTAAGATGCAATAGTAACTTCTTTCCAAGGTGCCCATCATTTTCGCCCCAGCAAGGTTCTCTGACTTCTGAACACACACACTTTCTACCGCATTATCCGTCATACATACTTTTGTCTAATCATCCACCTTTTGGAAATGTCTTAGTTTTTCATTTGCTTTAAGAAGTATTTTATAATGGCCCCACTGTTTTGTAGAGACACCTCTAGTTTCTTGATATTTCATTGAACTATTTTGTGAATAAGTATCATGTCTTATGAGTTTATAAAGTTGTTTACTTTCTGCCCATGAAAAGATTTTTTTTCCTGGATTTATTTTTTACTTGGCAGAAGTTATGAGAAACTTTTTCTCCCTAAGTTAAAACAGGCTTTTAATGCATGTTGGTATCTTGGTCTTCTTCCTACATTAATAAAATGATATATTTTTCTGAAGCTAAAGGTCACTGGCACTCTGGGGGAATAATTTAAACAAGCAGTTTCAGGGTACAGATGAGTTAGCCATCATTTCACAAGAACATTCCATTCTCCAACCATTGAACTTATATGATGTGTACCACATTATGATTCTATCAAACAAGAAATTTACTTTTAAAAAATGACAAGTGAAACTTTTATAACTCATGATTAAATAAAAATCAGATAAGCCCAATCTACCAACAAATTCAGTAGTTTAAAAAAGACCCAAAACTTTTTACTCTCCAAATTACTACTCATTTTAAATGAGACTATATGCAGCTCTTTCCAAGTTTCCTGTTGTGGGACTGTGCATTTCTCTGCAGTCCCTGGTAACACAATAGGAGCATTCTAGTCCTTGATCAGACTTTTGAATGTCCACTCAAATCTCATTTTGTGACCTCTGCCTCCACTTCAGCCTTCTTCTGGGCTCTCACATTACCTTGGGTCTTCTCTAAGTTTCACATGCATTTCTCCTCCATCCTCTTCTAGTTCTTCCCAGTCTTCAGTTTCTCTGCTTGTCACAGTTGGTAGGTATAAGGGTATAGAAGGAAAGAATGGTAAATGGCATGAATCTATGTGAAGACATATAAATATGTGCAAAAATGTGATAAATGTAAAGGATTTTTTAAATGTATTCTACATTGTATAAAAGCTAATGGTTTTTCTATAGGAGTCTCAATATGTCCAGTCCAGTACATTCCAACATGTTGGAATGTGTGTAGATTCCTTTTGTCTTTAAAATTCTATGTTCTAGGGGCAGCTAGGTGATGCAGTGGATAGAGCACCGGCCCTGAAGTCAGGAGGACGTGAGGTCAAATCCGGCCTCAGACCAAACATTTGACACTTACTAGCTGTGTGGCCTTGGGCAAGTCACTTAACCCCACTTGCCTAAAAAAAAAAAGAATAAAACAAAAAATAAAATTCTATGTTCTATGATGGCTTCTAAGGACTGTGGACAGTGCTCTAAGTAACCTAACCTCCCTAGAACTAGATGTAAATGCCAGACTCAAGGCAGAATCAGAAAGGAAAGGAATCAGGCAGAAAGGAGAAAGAGAGCTGATAATTTGACTCAACCAAGATCGGGTGTAGGAAGTGACTGGTATGGAGTTACAGAATTACAGAACTTGTGAATTGGAAGGACTTCAGTGACCATCCGGTCTAATCCATACATGAAAGGGATGCACACCAGAACCCAACCAACAAGTGATCATCCAGCTTTTAAAGCCTCCATTGCCAGAGGTCTTCACCAACCAGCATGCTTCAGTTCAACTACGCATTCTTGTAGATAAACAGTTGTTTCCATTCCTTACAAAAGACTTTGTCTCCTTATGTCTGCCTTCTGGCAGCCTCGTTTTCTGCTTTAGTTTGGGCACTCTTCCTGCTTCTATCCAGGGCCTTCATGTGTGAAAGCTATAATCTGTCCCCATCATTTTGGATCTACAGGTCAGACCATCATTTCTGGAGACAAAGATGGAATTGTGGCTGTGAGCAGTCCAAGGACAGGAATTACCATACGAGTGCTGGATGACCACAAAGGCTCGCCTATCACTGTGATCCAGAGCAAAAGCAAGGAGGTGAGGTCTGCTAATAATATGCAGTAAATGTTGGGCATTAACCACTGATGTCTAGCCTGATGTGCAGCCTCCTGAAAAACTGAGTCTCAGATCAGTTTGGTGAACTATATAACTGACAACGTGGCCAATGTGGAAATATGTTTTGGATGACTTCCTATGCAAAATAGATATTGTGTTTCTTGCCTTCTTGATGGGTTGGAGAGGGGCAGAATGGAGAGAATTTAGAACTAAAAATAAAAAACTTTAAAACAAATAGAAGAGCTATAACTGATAGGGAGTTGGAGGCCTGTGGAAAGGTCTCATTGTGTTGGTTTCTAACTCTTAAGGGCTTATGACTGGATCTCTCTTTCCTTCACTCTCTAGTACTATGACTTTGGTTTGGAAGGGGGAGAGCTGTGGTTGGCTGCCAGTGCAGACCGGAGAGTTAGTGTCTGGGCTTCGGATTGGTTCAGAGACAAATGTGAACTTGTAGATTGGCTGAGCTTTCCAGCACCCACCAACCCAAAGGTGAGAGTGTTCATCCAGCTTGGTTGTTTTCTTTGGGACATCACTGATCTTTCCCCTGACCCCTCTCATTATTGACTTTTCCCTATAGATTCCAACGAACTTACCTCCTTCTCTAGCTGCCTTCTGCCCTTGGAACAGCAGCATGCTGGTCTATGTAGGCTTTGGGTTGAAGGAAGAAGTCCTCTTCTACAGCCTCTCTCAGAAACAGGTACTGGTGCTTCTTCTCCCAGGAAAGGGCTGAGCAGGCCAAGATAAGGAATGCCTAGTTTAAAAGGTGATCTTTGAGCCACAGACTCATTTAGGGCACTGCATGAAGTAGGTCACAGCCTTGCTCAGGCTATGAGACAGATTCTTATGTCCCACAGCACTATGGCCTGGGATGGGTGGATTTAAGCATCATGGAGCAGGGCCAGAAGGTTAAATGAGATACCATTTCTTACCTCAGACTTTAAGTTCCTAGATTTTGGGCCTTCAGTGGTACATGCCCACGCATAGCACCGATTCTGGAGCCAGCAGTACTGAACAAAACAGCGCTCCTCAGCAGCCTGGTGGCATCAGTACAGCAACTGCTCTGCTGCCTGTTGGCTTGACCCAGTGCCACCCTCTCCTTCTGTCTGCAGGTTGTAGAGAAGATCCCCTTGTCTTACTTTGCGACTTCCCTCAGCCTGTCCCCAGGATCGGCCCTCATAGCTATTGGCCACTGTGGTAAGTTCTCCCACACAATAGGTAGGGGATGCCAGGGCTCTGCCCTGGGCCTGTACTTGTCACCTGGAACTCCTGGAGAAACAGTACTATGCCTTATAGAGCATTGGACCTCTTTACTCTCCCCTCTCTCACTCCCAGCAGAAACTGCTTTGAGTAATGTTGCTGTTTTCCTCAGTGTTGGAGGAGACATATTTGTTGGGAGTTTCATTGGCTTAACAGTCCAGGCTTTTTTGGCAGGGAGGGGTGGGTGTTGAAATTCTGACCTTTGTTATATATCTAAAGGAAACCTAATTCTCCTCTAAAAAGGATAGGGCCTTTCAAATGGTAATCAATTCAACTCAGTAAACATTTATTCTGTGCCTACTGTGTGCTAGGCTCTGGGGTTACAAAAAGTGGCAAAAGACAATCCTCGCCCTCAAGGAGCTTACAATCTAATGGAGGAGACACCATGCAAACAAATAGATATAAACCAAGCTATATGTAGGGTAAATAGGAAATAATTAACAGTGGGAAGGCACTGGAATTAAGAGGGGCTAAGGAAGGCTTCCTGTTGGAGGTGGGAATTTATTTGGACCTAAAGGAAGCCAGGACGTTCAGTTCTCAGAGCCACAGAGGGAGAATGTTCTAGGCATGGGGGACAGCCAGAAAGAGTGCCTGCAACCCAGAGATGTTATCTTGTTTGTGGAACAGCCAAGAGGCCAGCGTCACTGGATGGAAGAGTATGTGTTGGGGAGTAAGGTGTAAGAAGACTGGAATGGCAGCTCGATTATGAAGGGCTCTGAATGGCAAACAGAACATTTTGTATTTGATCCTGGAGGTGACAGGAAGCCACTGGAGTTTAATGAGTAGTGGGGTGACATAATCAAATCTGCACTTTAGGAAAATCACTTTAGTGGCGAATACAGGATGGATTGCAGTGAGGAGAGAACAGAGACAGGCAGACCCATCAGGAGGCTATTGAAATAATCCAGGAGTAATGTAATGAGGGCCTGCACCGGAGAGAGGGGGACTTATTCCAGTGATGTTGCAAAGGTAAAATTGACAGGCCTTGGCAACAGCTTGGATATGAGAGGTGAGAGATAGCGAGGAGTCCCGGATGACTCCCAGGTTGAAAGTCTGAGGGCCTGGGAGGAAGGTGTTACTCTCTATAATAATAAGGAAGGTAGCACAGGGCAGGATTTGGAGAGAAAGATAAGGAGTTCTGTTTTGGACATAATGAGTTTAAGATGTGTATTGGGTGGCCAGTTTGAGGTATCTGGAAGGCAGTTTGAGACGTGAGGTTGGGGATCAGCAGAGAGATTGGGTCAGGAAAGGAAGATTTGGAAATCATAAGCATAAAGGTGGTAATTAAATCCATGGGAGCTTATGTAATCACCAAGTGAAGTAATATAGAGGGAGAAGAAAGGAGAGCCCAGGACAGAACCCTGTTAGAAGGTGGGATCCAGAGCAGGATCCAGCAAAGGAGATGCAGAAGGAGTGGTCAGATAGGTAAAAGAACCAAGCGCGCGGTTTCCTGAAAACCTAGAGAGCAGAAAGTATCAAGGAGGAAAAAGTGATCAACAGTGTCGAGGGCTGCAGAGAGGCCAGGGAGAGTGAGGATTGAGAAAAGTCCATTGGATTTGACAATTAAGAGATCATTCAGTGAAATGATGGGGTCGGAAGCCAGATTGTAAGAGATTAAGAATAGAGGAGAAAGTGAAGGAACACATTGTAGATAACTTTTGGAGTAGTTTAGCTACAATGAGCAGAAAAAGATATAGGACCATGGTTAGCAGAGATGGAAGGATTAAGAGGGGAGACACGGGCATGTTTGTTTTGTGGTTGTTGAGTTGTTTTGGTTGTGTCCAACTCTTTGTGACCCCATTTGAGGTTTTCTTGGCAAAGGTACTGGAGTGGTTTGCCATTTCTTTCTCCAGCTCATTTTACAGATGAAGAAACTGAGGCAAACAGAGTGAAGTGACTTACCTGGGGATACACAGCTAGTGTCTGAGACTGGATTTGAACTGTGGTTCTCCTGACTCCAGATCTGGTGCTTTATCCACTGTACTACCTAACTGCATGGGCATGTTTGTAGGTACTAGTAAATGAACCAGGAGAGAGGGAGAGATTGAAATAAGTGAGAGAGTAGATATGACAGAGGGGTCAATCTGTTGGAAGAGATGGGATAGAATGGGGTCTCTTGAAGAAGCAGAAAAGTTAGCCTTGGTAAGGAGTAAGCTGCTTCTTCATCATATGAAACGGGTGAAGAAGAAGAAAGTAGCAGAAGGCAACCTGAGTGATTGAAGATAGGAAGAAAGAAGGAAAAGGATTTCATGGCAAATGTCTTCAATTATTTCTGTCAAAATATGAGGCAAGGTTCTCTGCTGAGAGAATGAGGATAGGGGGAGCCTTGGGTGGTATGAGAATTGATGAAAAGGTTTGGAAGAGCTTCTGTGGAGAGGGGGATAGTGAGTTTGTAAGTGAAGTATGAGTGGGAGAACTAGCATATCCACTACCCTGCTTTCCGTGATGAAATGCTTGCTTCTGCAGGCCTCTGCATCAGAATCAATGGCAGGGTGTGTGGGTGGAGGTGAGATGGGTGAATTTCAGGGAAAATCTCCACTTATCAGGAATTCTTGCTTCTGATACTTAGGACAAACATGATTTTGGTTTCCCGGCCTAGACTGGCTGGATTACTCCTCAGCTTCAGACTCAGAGATTAGAAAAATATCTTTTAAACCACCGAATGATTTGTATGGCCTTTCCTTGCTGCCTTCTGAGGCCACCATGAGGTGGCACAGCTTCCAAGGGAAGAGTCATAAGACCCTGCTGTTTACTCTTATGTCCCCACAGAGCGATTGCTGAGGCTTATTGACTGCATGTCGAAGACTGAGCAAGACTTTGTGGGGCACAACGATGCTGTCCACCTCTGCAGATTCACACCATCTGGCAAACTGCTCTTCACAGCAGCCTACAATGAAATTCTTGTGTGGGAGGTGCTGGGCCCAGGAGCAACAGCACCCAAAGAGGCCAAGAACACCCCTCTTAGACCTCAGATAGCCAGATAGACTTCTGATCCTCGGGAGACTCTTTCATCCAGCTTGCTGACCTGAGTGTGGCTCAGTTAAAACTTGTTCCATAAATCACATAGCTCTTTTTTAAAAAAAAAACAAACCATTCAGGCTGAAGGAAGTCAGCTGCAGTCAGGACTGAGAACTGACTCTTCACAGACCTATTTGATAAACCCAATGTGTAGGGTGAGAAGACTGGACCACTTTCCTCACCAGGGCAAAAGCCACATCTGCTAGTCAGGTACAGAGTAGCATCGGCCCATTCCTGTTCCAGAACCTGCAATCCTAGCCCTTCCTCGAATCACTTTTAATGATCTAGCTCCCCAGAAAAACTGTTCCAAAGGAGAACATGCTCTGATAACAGGGCAGCCCAACTTATTGCCTTGTGCCTTTGTTTAGGGCCTGTGTGTTTATATGTATGCATGTGGATTTCAGTATATATTTTTGCCCTAAGATCCATTTTGAGGTCTTCAGCTGGGGATTGGCCTGCAAGACTTGATGCTAAGCCAAGAAACAATTTTTACAAATCAAACAGGCCAAAACACATTTAAGTGTTATGGAAATATGTAAAATACTTGCTGCCCTTTTATCTGTAAGGGGTATTTTTTTTAAATGTTTCTACACTTGTACAGTTTTGAAATAAAAGTAGGTGTTTACAGTCCAGCTGTAAGCCTCAGTTGTCAGCCGCTTGCTGGAGAATTTAGGTGATTGTGTTCTTTCTCAGTTCTTCACCAAGATCAGGACCTTAGCACTTGCCCACTTTGCCCACTTGACCCATTCCGAGGAGGAGGAGGAAACTTTTTTCGTGAACCCTAGGGAGAAGATCCATGGCTTGGCTGGGAGAAGCCAGCAGTTATAATGAGGGCTCCTGTCTAACTCTTCAGAACCTCATCCTCTTGCTCGCACCTAGCAGGTCTGTTGATTTGAAGTGACCTTCCTTATGGCGAAACAACTAGTGTCAGGCCCAAGTCTCCTGACTCCAAGGCCAGTACTCTTGCTTAAAAAAAAAAATCAGTTGCTTTCCACCCACCCCAACTGTCCCTTTAGACAAGACATTGGTCGTGTCTGAAAGTGCATGCCTTATTCTGCAGCAGCACTAAGTGTAGACACTTCCACCGAGGCCAGCTTGGGAGAGAATGCAGCATCCCCCAGGAGGCCGGCGCGGGCGGGCTGGGCGCAGTACTCATCGCGGAGCACCAGAGGGCGCTGCTGCATGTGCGCGGTGGCCGCCGGGGTCCGCTCTAGGCCGCCGGCTCCCCGGCACTCTCTGGTGCGGTTTGGCGGGCCGGGCCGAAGCTGGGCCGGAAGTGGGGGCGGAGGGGAGCCAGCGGGCCGCCGAGCGGCAGCCGCGGCCTAGGCTGGCACCATGAAGCGGGATGTGCGGATCCTGCTGCTGGGCGAGGGTGAGCATGGCGGCGGGGAGCCAGGGTCCCGTCAGCCTGGGGCGCCCGCGGGCGGCAGGGCCGGGGGTGGGGGCGGCGGGGCACCTGGCTTGACCTTGGGCGCGGGGCCGGGAGGGCGCGGCGCTGACCCGCCCCCTTCTCTCCTCCCGCAGCCCAGGTGGGGAAGACCTCCCTGATCATGGCCCTGGTGGGCGAAGAGTTCCCCGAGGAGGTGAGTGCCGCCCCCGCGCCGGCATGCCTGCCCCCACTTTACGGAGCGGGAAGCTGAGGCTCCGGAGCCGCCGGCCCCCGGTCACGTCAGAGCGGCAGGACCGGGCCCGGGGCCGGGACGCGGACAGCGCGTGGAGGGCGGGCACGGGCCCCGGGGCGCCGGGTGTGGGTGGGGGCCCTCACCCCCAGGGCCGCTGTCCTGCCGCGGGGCGGGGTCTGCTGCTGAGGGAGGCGGTGATTCCGCCCCGGGGGCGTGGTGGCTCCTGCGGGGACCTCCCGAGGGGACCCCTCAGGCGCTAACAGTGGAGACGCAGGGACCCTCTGCACCCCTTCCCTTCCTGCCTGGAAAGTGATCGCGAGGTCACCGGTGCAACCGAACTGTTGAGGTCTAAGAGGTTGAGACCCTTCAAAGACCGAAGTACAAGACGGGGTCTTCTGGAATGAATTCACAAACTCAAGCAATCTTTAAGTCAAGATGCAACAAGTTTGTTCTTAGGCTTTTCAGCGGGCAGGGATTCTTAAGGAGCCTGCAAGAGACTGAGGATGGAGCTAGGGTTTATATGGAAAAGGGCATGGGGAAGGAATGCCAGGGACACTGATGAGGTAATCTAAAGGTCCAGGTGTCTTTGGGAGCTATGGATGAGAAAGTACTGGGAGTATATGGAACAGGGAGGCAGATGACAGAGGTATGGATCTTTGGAGTCTGGCAGGAGGAAGAGTCCCTGGGCTAGCCAAGGACAAAACTCCTTGGGCTGGGCAAGGCACCCCTCTCCCTCTGTCTTGTTGAGAGAATGTTCTGCAACAAGGGAAAGCTTTCTTACAAGACAGGAACTTACTAAGGAATTGCGAGGCTTCCAGGGACATGATCTGAGGGCTGGGGCCTGAGCAGCCCAGCACTCTCTCACCCAGCTTTGTATAGCTGCACCAGGGAGAGATAAGGGTTGTGCTGGGGCCCACGCATGAATAACTGCTAGGCACAGTGTCCTTGGGCTGGGGAAATGGTTGTTAGAGACTGTTTCTGAGACTAGGAAGAAATTGGGGTCCAAGTACAAGTACCCAACTACCCCCATCATTACCCCGAAATGAGAGAGGGAGACGGAGTGGTGGGCACAAGCCGGAGGGGAGGCAGCCCAAGCACGACATCCAGTCCTATGTCCTCCTTATACAGATGAAGCCCAGAAAGGAACAGAGTCCTGCCCCAGAGACCAAGATGGTAGCCCAACTGGGACTTGAACTCAACTCTTAAGGGTGTTCCAGTGGAACAAATGCTGCCTTGGAATGGAAGGACCTGAATTATAATTCTGACTTTACCATTCAGTACCTGTATACTTTAATTTCCTTGTTGCTGGTCACCTTACATGGCTGAGCCTCAGTTTCCTCCTGGACATTGAAGGAGTTGGGCTAGAACATCTCTAAATCCTTGTTTCTGATACCCAATCTAGTATTCTTTTTTGCTTCCCTACCTGAGTGTCTGGGATTAGCTGCTTTGTGTTCCTTGTCCTTTGAGAAGGCGCTCTGTGCTCTTGGCAGAGAGGACTGCTTCCAGAAATTACTAGGCAAGGAATGACAGCTTTAGCCATAAGCAGCTCTCTCTATCACCCATAGGAACCCTCAAACTGCTGTCTTCAAGAGATTTTTCCCTTGAGTCACCCAGGTGGGTGAAATAATTAGGAAGACCTCATTTTCATTCATTTGCATGTGGTTTGCATAGAACTACAGAAACTGTACCACCTGTTCTCAAGGCTATGATTTCTTGATTTTCTTGTTTTGTGTTTCTGTCATCCTCTCTACAGTCACTCATCATGAATTACTCTGTCTTAAGAGTATGGGGAGGAAAAAGGAATAGAGGCAGGTAATGAGGGTAACAGACTTCAGTTAACCAATAAACCCTTATTAAGCACCTGCTGTGTGCCACATACTGGGAATACAAATACAAAAGTGAGGCAATCCCTACTCTCAATGGGCTTCCATTCTGCCAGGATACACCATGTTTAGAAATAAACAAATACTTAACATATACAAAATAAATAGAGTTATCTGCTGGGGCCCAGGGGTTGACTAACGATTGAGAAATTAAGAAAAGGCTTCATAAAGAAAGTGGCTCTTCAGCTGAGTCTTGAACAGAGACTAAAGATGTTCTGAGAGGTAGAGATGAGACAGGTACCTCTTCCGAGGATGGAATATGAAAAGGTGTGGAACTAGAATGTTGTCCACGAGATCAGCAAGCATGCTAGTTTAGCTGGATCATAGAGTACATCATGGGGAGTAAAAAGTAACGCTGGAGCCAATTGGTGAAGAGTTTTAAATGTTTATTCTAGAGACAGTAGGGAGACACTGAAGCTTCTTTATTAGGAGAGTTGCCAAATTTGGAGAATACTGTCTTGTGGTGAGGAGGGGAATCAATGTGGTCCAGTGGAAAGGATACTGGCTTTGGAGTTCAGGGACTTGGGTTTGAACCATGGCTCTGCCATTTTTCCTGCCATTATGACCATAGGCAATTAATCACATCTCTTCTTTGGAACAGTTTCCTTATCTATAAAATGGGGAGAGGGGAGGGAGGAGAGTGTTTAGGGATGGACGAGATGATCTTTCAGGTCCTTTCTGGCTATAAGGCTGTAATCCTTTGAGTGTATGCCCATGAAGTAAGGTCATTTTTTTTCCCTTTGGCTGAAGGATCATGATAGAACATCAAAATGTCATTAGACTACATCCCTTTTGGGTACTATCCCTTAAGGGATACTTGTAGGGGACTGACACCAGTGTTATAAGGCAATGTCATCTCTTCTCCAGCTTCCAGATAGCTTATAGGTTACTAAGTCAGATGACTGTCATTTTTTTTTAACCATGATTTTTTACCTCACTGCTGACATTTATTGAGGGAATTGATGAAAGCAAACAGCTAGGCTACTAGATGTTTCCCATCATGTATCAGGGTTTCTCCAGAATCACAGGAGGAAAGGTACCAGCTCATCCCAGGAAAAATGGGTGCAGTGATCTGTGGGCAGTGATTGATGTGTGAGAAAGGTTTTATGCTATCTAGCCTTAGGGTCTTCATACCTTAGGACTTTGTCCATAGTCTTGGACTAGCAGAGGTCGTAAATATTTTTCTTTTTTTTTTTATGAGGCAGTTGGGGTTAGGTGACTTGCCCAGAGTCACACAGCTAGGAAATATTATGTGTCTGAGGCCAAATTTGAACTAAGGTCCTCCTGACTCCAGGGCCGGTGCTCTATCCACTGCACTACCTTAGCTGCCCTATTTTTTTTTATTTCTTATTGACCTATCCTATCCTCATTGTAGAATCCTACCCATCTCCCACAAACTGTCTGCCCTTGTGTGAACACTTGTTTTTTCTAAGGTTCCCCCTCGAGCTGAAGAGATCACAATTCCAGCTGATGTTACCCCTGAGAGAAGGTGCCCACTCACATTGTTGATTACTCAGGTAGGTCCCTTCCCCCACATGACCCTGGGCAAACACCCCAGCCCAAGTCTGCTCCCAGGAGCAGCCTTCTCAATAGAAATCACCCTACACACTCAGCATCCTGAGTGCTTATCCAGGGATCAGGTACAAGAGGATGGCTCAGTATTGGGTAATGGTGTCTTTTTATTTCAGAAACGGAACAGACAGAGGAAGAACTGCAAGATGAGATCCACAAGGTGAGATTGAAATTATGAACTATGTGGTAAAATGGGAAATAGGAAGAGTGAAGGTGGTAGGATGTGGTGAAAAAACCCCAGCAAAACGGGAGTCCAGAGAACTGGTTCTTACTATGGCTCTGCCACTTAGTTTCTGTATTACCTTAGGTAAGTCCTTTCCCTTTTTTCAGGTCTTCAGTGTGGCTTCTATTCATATTGGAAATAGGATTAGATTTAGGTGAACACTAAAGCCCCTTCCATCCCTAAGATTCTAAGATTCTAGGCTAGGAGCTTTATGTGATGCTGGGTAAATAAGGGCTTTCTTCATAAAGGGGCTGGCCTTGCTGTCCTAATGCTCTGTCACCTGCTTATTAGAACCATCTTCCATTGTATATGGACTACAAGTAAAATGCCAATCAGGCTAGTGGTCTCAGCCCCTGAACTGAGCCTGGCAGCACTTAAGCCAGAGGGCATGGAATATAGTGGCCTGAGGTTGACTAGGGAAAGAGATAGATGGGAAGTTTTTGTAGGAGTAAAAATCTCCCTGTCCTAGGAGGAACATTAGATGGTCCAGCTTCTAATATCTCCCCATTCCCACTCTGGGGTCCTTTTTGCAGGCAAATGTGGTATGCATGGTGTATGATGTTTCTGAGGATTCCACCATTGAGAAGGTAAGAGAGTAGCTGTCATGGTCAGACAGTTGCTGCTTTCTCTCAGAAGTTGGTCCAAAATATTTAGCCCCCATTGTGTACAGAGACTGGTAATAGGTGCTGTAGGTCAGGGTTGGGGAGGAGAAATCCAAAAGAAACAGAAGACACAAGCACCATCCTAGAGTTATGTACAGTCTACTGAAGGAGTGATTGGAGTCAAGTGTAGGCATTAAGGGAGCTCTTAGGTTACCTTATTGCTAAGATTGTTTTATAAAAGCTTATGAAAACAGCTGCCTCTGAGTCATTTTTTATTGGGGCCAAGAAAACTTTGATGATTGGAATCTATAGAGAATATCTTTGCCTTTTCCCCTGTAGCTTTAAGGTGTTACAAAGCAGTGGAATTTCTAAAGAGGAAGGGGGAAAACCCTTATAATTCACACACTGCATAGTCCCCTTTATAATATCCAAAGGGTATTACAGAGCTGGTTGTAAGGACAAGAGCACTGCCAGTTTATATTTTATATTGCCTGCTGTCTTCTCTAGAAGGAATGCAAGCAGTGGATTTTATTTTCTTTGCCCTTTGGAATAAATCATTACTCACCTTGGAAGGGCCAGTGAGTGAATAAGGGGCTATTTTGCAAGGCTTTCCTCTTGCCTGGTGAAACTTGAGCATCACCCTGGATGGCCACCCTGTTCTCTTAAGGATAAACTGTATAAAGAGAAAGCCCCTGGTCAAAGGGCAGGGTCACCTGGATCTGTGCCAAGAAGAATGGGGTCTAGTAGTCAGGGGAGATTGTTGTTAACAAGGCCTGTGGCCCAGGGTTGGATTCTTTGCAGGTTGCTCCCTACATTGGGAATTTAGAGCTAATTTAGAGCACAGCTGAATAGGTCTTATTGGTCTGTTTGACTCCCGTGTATTGGCTCAAATGTGACCCTCATTATTAAATTTTCCCTGATTCATCCCAGCTGAAAGTAAATTTCTACTTCCATTTAACTTCCATGAAACTTATTGTACTTACCACAAACTGCCTTATGTTATAGTTTATTTGTGCACATCCCTCCAGTTGAGAGTCAGCATGGTATACTGGGTAAAGAGCTGCCCTCAGAACCTGGAAGACCTGGGTTCAAGTCCTGCTTCTGACACATACTATCTCTGTGACCCTAAGCAAAGCACTTAACCTGTAGGCTAGATGTGTCAGACTTAAGGGCCACAATTCTTGAGTGCTACCAGAACCAGATTAAAATGTAATTGGGAAGTGTTTAACAAAATAAAAATACATTATAACACAGATAATGTTAATTTGTGGTTTTCTAAGTTATTATGCACTACAGGGATCTGTTTCTATTTGAGTTTGACCCCACTGCTGTAGGCTACTCGTTAAAGGCTGTACATTTTGAGGAGGTACAGCCCTGCATTGGTAGGAGTTCTCTCATCCAGGAATTCCCTATTCCAGTAAAATCATAGATTCAGTTTGTATCAGTCCCTTATCTCTAGTACTAGAAAGAAAGCTTCATTGGGATAAGTTCTGTCTTATTCATCTTTATGTTTCCCCCATATTGTTTTCATATGTGGCAAGTGCTCAATAAATGTTTTTTGAATGTTGGGGGGGTGTTTCCTTTTCAGATCCGAACAAAGTGGATTCCATTGGTGAATGGGAGAGCAGAAAAAGGGCCCAGGTACTAAGTATGATTTCTCGGAAATGGGTGGGAGGTAGCTCTGTAGTATGGCCTGTATTCCAAGCACAACCCTTTTCATCACTTGTACTTGGGTTGGACTTAACTCATATCCACTGGTCCCGAATCCTTCTGCTCTGAAAAGCTTCCACTTTTCATTATCTTCCCAGAATCCCCATCATTCTGGTGGGGAACAAGTCAGACCTACGCTCTGGGAGCTCCATGGAGACCATTTTGCCAATCATGAACCAGTTTTCTGAGATAGAGACCTGTGTAGAGGTGAGTGACAGGCCAGGACCGGAAGGGCCACCAAGTAGAAGTAAATGACAAAAGGGTCACATCAGCATAGCTCTTCCCCTTTGGGGAATGTCTACTGCTCTTCTCAATGATTTGTTTCTAATTGTTGCTTCTTCAACAGGGATTGTGAAGGAACCTAGATATGTTAAGTCTGAGGTTTTTTCCTCCAGGTTTCCTCTGCCTGATATGTGCTAGCACTGTTGTAGGACCATAGAGGATCCAGAAAAATCATGTCACCTGCCTTTAGGGAGCTTGTAATGTAGCTGAAGAATAAGACACACAAAGAAAACATAATGCAAGCAGCAAATGAGGGGTAGAGCCAAGAAGAGCTTCAGGAGTCAGGAATTCATTTCAATTCTGTTGTAAAAATGAGAGAAAAATGGCCAGCTGGTGTGGTCAGGGAAAGCTTCATGTGGAAAGTAGAGATCTGAACAGTGTGTTTATGAATGGATAGTATTAGGGCAGGTGGAAAGGAGAGAGAATGATAGCCAGGTGGTGGTGGTGGAAAGGGAAACAATCCAAGTAAAAGGAAGTAGGAGATAGTGCAAGAAGGTATTTTGGAGGGAAGTTGAATAATTTGCTTCACTGGAGAAATTCTCAGTGGGGGAGTAGTGGGAAGTAAGGCTAAGAAGGGAGATTGGAGCCAGTTTATGGAGAGATTTAAAATGCTAGGCCAAAGAGTTCAAACTTTCTCCTTGACAGTAGGGAGTAATCCAAGGTCATACTTTTGTGTAAAGCATGCTTATACCCAGTGATGACTTAGAATCAGATGAATTATTCCAATTTCAGGGCAGGGCAGGGAAGAACTCTCTTGAGGAAAGTTGTGCCTTGTCACTAACAAGAATACTGATTGGTAGCAGTTCTATGTTACTGTTAGTTTTGTTCTTGAATGATATCTCTGATTTGATTTCCTCCTGACCCCAGATCCATCCTCTAGAATCTTGAAGAATAGATGTGTCTCTCCTTCATGCTCTGTTTTGTTGTATTTCTCCTAGTGTTCTGCCAAGAACTTGAAAAACATCTCAGAATTGTTCTATTATGCTCAAAAGGCAGTTTTACACCCTACAGCCCCCTTGTATGATCCAGAGGAGAAGCAGGTGAGAATGGGGAGTATCTGTGTGAAAGTGGAGGCATACTTGGGTTTGGCTTCCACTTTGAAGCCCAAAGTATCTGAATCCTGACCACTGAATATTCCCCTACCAAATCTTTTAATATTTCTTTTTCCATTCTTTTCAAGCCTGATTCAGGAAAAGCAGCTCAAGTTGGTATAGAGTCCTTTGATCAGAGAATCATAAGATGGCAGAGTAGAAAGGATCTTAGTGATCACCATGTCTAATCAGCTGCTTTTTCTTTTTTCTTTTTGGCTAGGCAGTGGGGTTAAGTGACTTGCCCAGGGTCACACAGCTAGTTAAGTGTTATGTGTCTGAGGCCGATTTGAATTCAGATCCCCCTGAATCCAGGGTCGGTGTTCTATCCACTTCGACATCTAGTTGCTCCCTAATCGGCTTATTTTTCAGATGAGGGAACAGACCTAGAGGGTGGAAGAGACATGCCTAAGCTCGAATAGTGAGTTAGTGGCATAGCAGGAATTAGAACCCAGATCTGCTCATTATGATGTTTCAGTACCTTTAGCTTGGTTTAACTTGGACCAAAAGCTCAAGACTAATTCCTACAAGCTAAAGGTACCCCTGGCCTAGGAAACAGACCCCTTATGTCTGGGACTCCTGGTGGAACCACTTTTTTGGCACCCAGCACACACCATTGATTCACATTGGATACTTTTGGGGTCCATGTTTTGTACATTTCACTTGTATCCTTTCAGCAACCATGGTGTCTGATGGTACAGGCTACAGATGCTATCCAGGGGAACACAGCCAATTCTGAAACATTTGTACCAGTGGGGGACAACAGAACCATATGTTATTGCAGGCATATGTTCCTCAGACCTGGTTTTAACCCATAGTTCAGCTTCTTTCCCTTCCCAGCCCTTGCCTGACTTGCTCCCAGAACAAAATGGATGGCTATATTCCCCTCCTTTTTTGTCCCATTTGCTCTTGGTTAAGAGTGACAAAGAATGGAATGATGGGAGCAGAGGGAAGAAGCACTGACTGACTAACTCACCAAGTGGATAATGGGAAGGAGAGGAGAAAAAGACTATCTAATTCTGTTTCCCAAGTCCTACTGTTTCCAGGGATGTTAGGCTTCTTTGTGGTTTAGGGGTTGGCTTCATGGAACTTTACTAGGTTTCAGTTTGTTTCCTCACAGCTAAGGCCAGCTTGTGCTCGAGCGCTCACCCGCATCTTCAGACTCTCTGACCAGGACAACAACCAGGTGCTGAGCGATGATGAGCTCAATTACTTTCAGGTGAGTGCTAGAGGGTGGCAATAGCCATAGCAGGGACTGCTGCCATAATAGAAACATCTTGAACATTTTAGCATTTTCCACTTCCTGCTCCTAACTTGTCATATTCAGTTGGAACAAACCCTCCCAGTTCTCTTTTCTCCTGGGTTTACAACCAGTCCTCTGATAGAAGCTCAGAGCTGTGTCTAGCTAGGTATGTGCATGGTTTTCTGTGCAGCAATTAGGCTGAAGAACCTTGCCTCCTCCACTTTCTTGATCTAACATTGGTATTTCTTTTGGGGTCAGAAATCATGCTTTGGAAATCCTTTGGCCCCTCAAGCCCTAGAGGATGTGAAGATGGTGGTGTGTAAGAACACGACAGACGGCGTGAAGGATGACGGGCTGAGCTTGGATGGTAATTTTTGACTTGTATGTATGTCTGTCTTCACTTCTTGTTGAGGGAACTTCCTGTAGGTTGTCTACACCAGGAACCCAGGCAGACAAGGAGGTGGCTTTGCTGCCTTGTTATATTGCCAGATTCTGCTTTGAGTTCCACGCTGGTATACACAGAGCTCTCTTCCTTTGGGTTATCCTTTATTTTTTTTTTAAAGCTCATCATGCTTTTAATGAGGTCACCAAAAGGTTAGGTGACTTGCCCAAGGTCACAGTGAGTGGGAAATTAACTGGAATGGATACCATTCCCCTTGATGTCCAGTGTATTGCTTGATCCATTCAGCCAGATCAAAGGGGCTTGTCTCATCCTTAAGTTTCAGAGGTTCGATAATGAATCTGAAAGGGCTCTCTAGGTAGATAATTGCTCTTCTGATGGCTGCCCCCACTTCTCCTGCAGGTTTCCTCTTTCTGAATACCCTCTTCATTCAGAGGGGTCGTCACGAGACCACCTGGACCATCCTGCGCCGCTTTGGCTATGATGATGAGCTGGAGCTGACTGCTGACTATCTTCACCCACTGTATGTGACACTCTGAGGTCTGAAGGGGAAGGAGCTAGAGAACCGTGCTAAGTTTTGGTTTCCCTAAGAAGCCAGGCTGTGCCTTCCAGGTTAACCTGAGGGGGTGTTGTGGAGTCAGCCTGCCACTCAAGCCTAGGAGCACCTCCTTCCAGTCAATGAGTGGAGCTGGTAGTCCTGATCACTCCTTCTGTACCAGGATTGGCCATAGCCAAGAGCAGAGAAGCCAGTGTCCCCTGCCCAGTGATTCCCCGGGGGCTCTCAGCCACTCTGTATCAAGAGGGCATGTTATGGTTGGGGTAATAGAACTGACATCCAGACATAACCATGTTTTCCAAACAAAACAGCAGATCTGAACACCATCTTAAAACAAAACCCATTTGGCACAATAATCAAGTTAGGGTTTACTGCTGTTATTACCCAGCCGTCTTAGCTCAGTGCCCAAGCACAATAGGTTTCCTGTTATTAGAAAGAAAATCATTGTAACCCAAGCTACTTCCCACAGCTATTTCTGGGTATAACCTCTGTAGGAAGGAGAGGGCAAGAGCATGCTAAATCTCTGTTCATGTGTGTGACCTGAATTCCAGAAGCATTGCCTCAGAGGTAGACAATTAAGAGCTATGTACAGCAACATTATGTGATGATCGACTATGATTGACCTAGCTCTTCTCAGCCATGCAGTGATCCAAGACAATTCCAAAAGACTCATGATGGAAATTGCTATCCACATCCTGAGAGGGAACTGATGGAATCTGAGTGGAGATCAAAGCATATTATTTTTACTTTTTCTTTTTTTGTGGGTTTTTTTTCTTTCACAACATGACTAATGTGGAAATATGTTTACATGATTGTATGTGTATAATCTATATCACACTGCTTGCTGTCTTGGGGAGGGGAGATGGGAGAGAGAAAAAATTTGGAACTCAAAATTTTATGAAAAATATTGAATAGTATCTTTACATGTAGTTGGAAAAAATAAAATGCTACTTCCAAAAAAAATTGGAAATATTTAACAAAATAAGTAAAAATACAGTAGAACATAAAAAAATAAGAGGCTATGTACTGAGTTCAAATTTATTTAATTGAGCAGGTGTTAGCAGCCCTCCTGTAGGGAGTACAATTCTGGTAAGCAATACACTAATGTCCTCGGAATGTTGGCCATGGTGAGCTTGTACCTTCCCTGGCCAGGTCACCTTTTATTGAGTTCCTACTTGTAATGGTCTTAAGACGAATGGGTTGCAAAAGATTAAATATAATTGCTCTAGTTCAAATGGATCTAGGTCAGGATTAATTTGTATGTGGATATTTAGATGAGAAATGTCTTTGGTTACGTCAGCGCGGTGTTCTAAATAAGCCATTTGTTAACAGTGGCTAGCTAGGGTTGAGCTATGACCAGTGGAAGCTATAACTTGGGAATGGTTCTCAGTCCTCAGTCATAGTTGAGTAAGTAGTTAACTGCTTCAGGCCCCATCTCTCCACCCCACACTCACCCTCACAATTTTCCTTCTCCACCTCCAGGATCCGTGTTCCTCCTGGCTGTACCACTGAGCTCAGTCACTTTGGTTACCAGTTTTTGCAAAAGATGTTTGAGAAGCATGACAAGGTGAGAATAAGAACTCATTTCAAGTTCACCCTGGACAACCACAGTTATTCTTTTCACTAGATCTTGCATGCCTCTCTGCAGTCTCTCCCACATTCCTCTGTTTATTACCATCTAAAAACCATAAACACACTCCTCTGCCCTATTCTGCCTTCCCAGCCTTGATGCAACTGTAGCTGTGCCATCATAGCTGCATTGGACCACCCTTTCCAAGGTGGTCACTTGAGACACTTCTGTGTTTCCAGGACCAAGATGGAGCTCTCTCCCCTTCTGAGCTTCAGAGCTTCTTTAGCCCATTCCCTTCTCTGCCTTGGGGCCCTGAACTCTACAATACGGTATGCACCAATGATAAAGGCCTGCTTTCCCTGCATGGATTCCTCTGCCAGTGGACGTAAGCGTAGTCTCTCTCCATCCCCCTTAACACATGTTCACTTTAATGTTTACTTGCCCTTCCCTTTTTCCTCATAACTGGCTGCATTCTGTTTTCTTGCATCTCCAGGTTAGTAACCTACCTGAACATCCACCACTGCCTGGAGCACCTTGGTTACCTGGGTTACCCTATCCTGTGTGAGCAAGACTCTCAGACACATGCCATCACAGGTAAGAGGCCTCTCTTCAGTTCCCATGGAGTGTGAGGGATTCTTAGAGACCTCCATGATCATTGACCATATCATGTTTTCCCTGCTAAAGTTACCCGAGAGAAGAAGGTGGACCTGGAAAAGGGACAGACGCAGAGGAACGTCTTCCTTTGTAAAGTGATTGGTGCTCGGGGTGTAGGCAAGTCAGCATTCCTACAGGCCTTCCTTGGGAAGAACTTAGAGGTGAGCTTGTCCCATTTCCCATTGTATGTATATAGATCTATCTGTCTGTCTTACTGTCTGTCTGTCTCATTCTGTAGCTTATGACTAGTGAAGCCACAGGGTCTTGTGCTTTTATCTCCAAGTGAGGGAGCGGGTCCTGCTGGGGATGGAGGTGGTGGAACCTTTTCGGTATGTGTTTCATCAGTTTGATATCCTTCTGTTCACCCACGCCTGCCTTGGTTGCAGGCCCTCAGGGAGCACCCAGGAGAACAGTCCTTCCAGGTGATCAACACTGTGCAAGTCAACGGGCAGGAGAAATATTTAATAGTAAGTCTGGGGGCCTTCAGAGGCGGCGGCAGCTCAGGGAGGGTCTGCTCAGGTCTTCAGAGGCGGCGGCAGCTCAGGGAGGGGTCTGCTCAGGCCTTCAGAGGTGGCGGCAGCTCAGGGAGGGGTCTGCTCAGGCCTTCAGAGGTGGTGCCAGCTTAGGGAAGGGTCTGCTCAGGTCTTCCAGGAGATGGGATTTGGAGAGCTCTAAGAAGGGGAGAGCCAGAAACAAGGACAACCTACCATCTGATGCCAGTTTTGGGGACTGAAGTGCCATTCCCTCCCCTTCCATGGCCATAATACAATTTCATCACTTTGGGATGTTTACCCTTGAAAATACATGAAGCACTTTTACATACTTCTGAGGACTTTCTCTCCTTGAGGGGAAGGTTAGGGGTCACTGCTCTGACAGCTAGGGAACTGTGTGCTGCCTGAGAAGTGGAGTTTTCTAGAAAGCCTGGATTTGCTTTTTTTTTTTTGCATACTCTTCATCTGTCATGGTAGTTTGGGTATCCCTTGTACATCCAGATATTACCTTTGCTTGTGACTAAAGACCCAAATAGGGGTAATAAGGCACTTGACCATGGTCAGAGGTAAGAGTGACCAAGTGAGAATTTGAACTAGTAGCTCCAGGCCTGTCTGCTCAGCTGAGAAACCTCTGGGACGTAGCTAGTTAGTGCCAGGGCAGCTGTGGGAAGCCTTCTTTCCTAGCCCTGGCCTGATGGGGAAGTGACCTGCAGCTCATTGGACTGGCTTGCTGAGAGCTGATTCAGTGCTCCCTACCTTTGTTGTCTCCCTGTCCTTCAGCTGTCTGAGGTAGAAGCAGACACACAATTCACTACAGCATCTAGTGCATCCTGTGATGTTGCCTGCTTGATGTTTGCTGTGAATGACCCTAAATCCTTCACCTACTGCGCCAGTGTTTATAAGGCAAGTCATTCATTTGCTCCAGATCCTTTTCTTAGAAAGGAAAGGCCACAGGGCTTGCTGGTTAGGCCAATCCTGAGCCTGGTACTGGGGAGAGCATGGGCCTACAGTTGGCAGGGTGCCCACCCATCATAGTTGTAGGCATTTCTTCAATGCCTGGTCATCTGCCAAGTAAGGTGTACTTCTCCCGGAAATCTTGGTGTTCCAGAATCCACCTCCCCAGTGGGCCTGAAGAGATAGTCTTCATGCTGTGACCTGAATTCTCTTCTTTCTGTAGCAATACTATATGGATGGACAGATCCCCTGCCTCTTTGTTGCCTCCAAGTCTGATCTGCCGGAAGTGATCCCACCACGCGGGATGTCCCCAGCTGAATTCTGCTACAGGCACCATCTCCCTCCACCATACTACTTCACCAGCTGTGGTCCCGCTGCTCCTAGCACCACTGTTTTCACCCGGCTGGCAACTTTGGCCACTTTCCCGTGGGTACCATGGCCAGCACCCTGACCAGAGAGTTGTTGTTGTTAACAAAAAAATTCAAACTTCAATGTCCTTGGGGTCCAGTGAGAGAGTTAGCCTCTTGGGGCTTTCTCAGGGAACCTGATGGGATTGCCCCTTGAAGAAGGGAGAAGAAAGAGAGAGAACAAGCATTTATTAAACACTGTAGGTCAGGCACTGTGCTAAGTTGTTTACAAGAGGAAAACAATAATATTTTACATCTATACATCACTTTTCAGGGAGGTTTTACATTTATTTGATACTCATAACAGCCCCCTGAGATGGTCAGGGCAGGGATCATTAACCCCCTGTGGATGATGAAAGTGAGGCTCAGAGACTTGCCCAGAGTTATAGGAGTGACAGAGACTCCCATCCCAGTCTTCTAACACCTAGGTTAGTGCTTTTCCCACTGTGATAGTTTAAGTGACCTCCACCACTCAGATTATGCTCAAGTATTTCAAAGGCCTGGGGACTTATTACAGGTGGTTTTCATCACCTTTTCCCTTACCCATTTTTATTCAGTCATTTTAAACAAGGTTAAAACATAGCCATTGGTATTTCTGGAGCACCTGCAATGTATTTTTCATCCCCCTTAGAGTGAATCATTAGAGATGTGAATTCTTCTCTTCCTCCTCATTCTGCTTTGGGACATAAGAATGAATACATCGGGCCAGACCATTCTGCCCTTTGGTCATCTTTCACTGACAGTGGCAGCAAGGGAGAGTTTAGGGGAGAACCTGCTTGCTTATTCCAAGACACTGGCATCAGGTTAGAAATATGCCATAAACATCCTCCAAAAAAGCAAAAGAGCCTCCCCCCAAAAAAGGGGGGGGGGCAGGTAGGTGGCACAGTGGATAGAGCACTGGCCCTGGAGTCAGGAGGACCTGAGTTCAAATCTGACCTCAGACACATACCACTTACTAGCTGTGTGACCCTGGGCAAGTCACTTAACCCCATTGTATAGCAAAAAAACCAAAACAAAACAAAAGCAAAAGAGGAGACTGGAATACATGTAATTTGGGCATTACCTGTGCAGGTCTATAAATAGGAAGGCTCTTGGCCCCATGTTATCCATCATGCCAGCTGAACACTAGTGGGAAGTTCCAAAAACCCTTAGGTGCTTCCTTCTCTGCCGCGTGGTACTAGGCTCTGGGTTAAAGAATGCAGGCATTCTCAACAAGTAAGGAATTTTTGTTCCAGGGTTTTCATCAGTCTTTGAATTAAGAGCTTTGGGATTTTCCTATGTTCATTTGGCTGGAATCAGACTTTTTTTTATAGAAATGAGAGTGACTAAAGAAAGACTGTTCACGTGGGATGATAATAGTGGCCAAGGGAAAGCACGAGGGGAAGGAGTTTGGGCTCCTTCCCCACATGTTTGTGTCTCCTTTCCTGCAGGCATTTGAGTGATTTAGAACTTGGCACAGCCTCCTTTTGGCTCCGGATGACGCTGGGGGCCGCTGTGGCTGCAGTCCTTGGATTCACCCTTTACAAGACCCTGGTGAAGAACAAGTAAGGGGAGGGTCTAGGTCGCACCAGACACTGTTGCTGTAGTTGGCTCCTCCTCACCATCCTGCCAGGGCAGATCAGGGCTGCCCATATCCTGCAGGAACACTTCCTGATGAGCCTCGACTGGTATTTTGTGATGTACCCTCTCCCCACCTCACTATTTCCTCTAAACTTTGTTTTCTCAATCTCAGGGCCCTTGAGAGGGGCTGAGGAAGCAGACGGACCTCCCCCAGATCATAGCGTGTATTTTGAGAGCTTTTACAGTTGTCAGGCTCAGTCACCTAAAGAAGCTACCTAGCTATCTGTCTGAGGCTGGCTGTAAGAGGTTTGACCTTTCTACCTTCCCTGCTTGGTTTTAGGCATGAGGGGAGGGGAACCAGCAAAGCCCCAGAGGAAGCCCACAGTGGTGAACAGGAAGTTGTTTCCTCCTGACCCCAACTTTCAGCCTAGGTTTACAGTGGGGAGAGTTGACACCCAGGGAGACTGCAGAAATAGTCTGTGGGGTTCTCAGCTGTGCAGATCTCCCTCCATTAGTCACAGACTGTGCCCCAGCCCATGCTTACTCATCTGTATCTGACACACTGATTCCCAAAGTAGTGTCTCTAGCAGTGTTCTGGACCACATTTCTTCTTCTTCTTCTTCTTTCCTGGCCTGCTTAGATGTTCCTGAATCTCCATCTTCCTTCTCTCAGCCTCATGCCCTTAGCCTCTCTCCTTGGCTGCACAGTGCCACATGCTTAGCTCTGCTCTGAGGGTTTGTGCCATGCTGGCATTATAGGACTATTGAATTCCAAAAGAGCCAATAGTGGGGAGGCATATGGCCTCATACCTGGAATTCTCCTTAGCTAATCTCCAACTCCGGGTCACTTCCTTTCCCTTCCTTACTAGGCTTGGGGTTCTGTGGCTTCCTAAGCTGAAGTGCATGCAGAAGCCCATAGGCCTGGGAATGGGAATAGGAATAGGGTCAGGAGGCAGACCCTCGAGTGAGGGAGGCCATTAAGTATTTTTCCACCATGAGTGACCCAGATTTTGGACTAATGAAATAATCATCCTTTGTTCACCACTTCAGTATGTGTATGCATTAGGGCGTGAAGAAAAAGTAATTTTGTTTCCCATTTAAACTGGAAATTATATCTTTTCTATTGCTGAGACCTCATACTTTGAAAAATGTCTTTTTATGTCAGCCTGAAACCTGTCTCTTCATCTTCAGTCTTAGCGTGGGCTGGAATCCATGCCTTTCTCCCCTTTTCCTCTTCCACTGTCCCTTTCCCTTGAAGGCATATCTTTTGAAAAATCCTCCACGAGGAATGATCTCCCCTTCAAATCCATGTTGTCCGTCCCTTCCCTGTTGGCACTCAATGCCTCATCTAGCTTCTGAATCTGAGGCAGGGGTGGGAAGCAGCCAATTCAGCAGGGAGCAAGCACTTGAACCTTTCAGGTACACTCAGGGTAGGGCAGTTTACGTTGTGCTGTTGTGATGGTGTTATGTAAACTACCTTTTTATGCAGTAATCTATTTTTAAAAAAGGATCTATTTTAGAGCCACAGCCTAGATACATTCCAGACCTGGTTCTGCGGATCTGGAGCAGTGTTATGTGCTTGGTGCACTGACATCAAGGGTCTGTGTTAATCATTTAGTTTACTTTAAAGTGGAGGCTTCATGTATTTAAAATAGGTATTTTCCATTTGAGGCTGATTGAGCTATGATTTTCCTTTGTTAGCGGAAGAAAGAGGGTACAGCATTCCCTACAACAATCTCTTCAACTTCTCCACCTCCTAGATTACAAGCAGAGGCACAAAGACAGAGCCAGAAGAGGGGTATTTGTTCACTGTCTTGTTCAGCTAGGATCTTTGTCCTGGGGTTGGCACGCTGTAGCTCTGCCTCATGTTGTCAAGCAGTCTGTGTCACTAGGAGTGACATGGATTCTGCTGATGTGGCTTAAAGAGCCACTGTGGCATATAAGACAGGACCTGGTGGTAAGAGAGCTGGGGGGAGAGAGGTTTTGACCATCTTCATCTTCTAAATAAATATCCAGTGAACATTTGCTCTGGATGTTGTGTCTTCAGGCCATTTCTAGGTAGGGAATGGACTGATTCAGCCCAAGAAAATACAGGGCAAAAGCCACAGTGTGTCCTAGAAGAGAATCAACTTGGGATGAGTGTCCTTTTCTCTTTGAGATGTGGTTTTTAATGTTGAAGGGAGCAGGAAAAGACACTAACTTCATGGCTTTGAGGAGTGGGCTTCTGGTTCTCTTTGTCCTGATTTTCCATTTGGGAGCAGATTCCTTTTGAGAGCCAGTGCCCCAGCCACTCTATATTCCCAGTTCTTGGACTGTCTTTGCCATTTCTAGACACATGTGAAAGGAAGTTGGTGTTTTCATAGCGGTAAGGGGCCTCGAGTTGTTTCTGGGTGTGGGAAAGAGTCACACTGCTATCCGGAGGCCCTGCTGGTCACTGGCCTTCACTAGTAGAGTCTGGGTTAACAGGATTCTCTCAGCTCCAGCATGGCTTTGGAGAATCCAGCCAAGGGCCTCGGCCTGGGATGTCTTCTTTTATCACTGGCTGTTCTCCATGCTGCTCTGACATCGTTTGGACCAGTGTCCTGCTGCCAGCATTGTGCCCAACCAGCTCGGGAGGAACGAAGTCTGGGTTGGGACCACAAGAAATGCCACTTCTCACATGCTCTTTCTGTTCGAGTATCATGTTCATTGTCCAAAGCCATATAATTTTATGATGGGTTTAACACTTTTCAATAAAAATAAGTGTTTGTGCACACTAAGACTGGGTTTGATCTACCTGTTAATCAGCTGTTGTAAAGACCACTGTAAAACTGGCTGCCCAGAGCTCCATGGGAAACAAGACCACAACCCAAAGGGAAGAGAACCTCCCATTTCTCACCAGTGTTTTCTGTCCTTTACATTTTTAACCTAATGCGTGATTTTTGAGGCCCTTTTGGCTTCTTTTGCATCTTGCACCTGACACCTGTTAGTTAGAACACACTAACACTGGTTTCTACTGTTGTCTGAACGCTGCTGCTGATGGTGAACCTCTGTGTAGTAGGAACTCATCTTCTGGTCAATGCCCCCTTCTTGTAAAGCAACCCAGACCACTGCAGTCCTGTAGGAAGAAGACTGGTCTGAGAGTCAGGACACCTGGGTTCTAAACTTATCCAAGCCATCGATGTGACCTTTAACAAGCCTCATCATCTCTAGGACTCAGTGTCTCCATTTGTGCAGTGGATGGTAATAGTTACCTCACAGGGATATTGTGAGGATCAGATAGTGAAAGTATGTCGAGTTCTTTCTGAGAAAAGCGCTGCACGTGAAAATAAAGGGCATGGAAGAGAGGTTTGTGTCGATTTCCCCCACCCCCCATAAGCTAACATAAGGAACATCTCCCACTTTGTCCCAGAACTGGCACGTTCTTTCAACCTCTGCTGCTTCCCTTGCTGTGCTGCTGGGGGAGGTTTTAGGGAGAAAAGCCACTCAGCTTAATGCCCCTTCTCTGAGCTCCAGGCAGCCTCTTTCCTTAGGCCTATTTCTGAGCAGGGCAGCTTGCTATTTCTAACCTTCCAGCATGCTCTAGGGGCATTAACTGCCAGGAGCAATTGCTCCTTTTCAGCTTCCTGACAGGACGTTATGGATTTCCGAATGGTCCTTGGAGGGGGTTACTATGGTAACCCCAACAGCCTCTGTCATAATAGTCATAAGGCCAAGTCTACTGGGACCAAATTTCTCTCCCCTGGTATCCTTCCAGCCCTGTAGATTTTGATGAGTTAGCATGTGAGCTTGGGTTTGGACCCTCAGAGGACAAGTCTTTTTCTGCCCCACTGATGGGCAAGGGTGGCCTCTTCCTGGCTTAGGAGCAGGTTCTCCTTATGCCCTCTAGGGCAAGATAACTGCAGGAGGGCAGTCTCTGGCCTTACAAGCAAAGGGGTGCCTGGAAGGCTGCCACCTCCAGTGTGACCCCAGTCACTGGGGGCTTTACACTAATCAATAAGACCTCACTTCTGGGCTAGTCAGGGCTACACTGAGAGGCAGCACTGCTTCCACCTGATGCTTGTCCAGTTTTCTTGTTAATGCTATGTTATGTTCCAGGGCCCCAGGCTCACACTTTTCCCAAAAAACAAAAACGAACCCTCCCACACACACACAGGATCAGGGTTCTAGGGCAGACACTGAATCTATGTTTAGGCATTGCTTGTGTCTCATTTTTAAGCAGTTCCCCAGAGCCTGTGGTGACAGCGGCAGCTTCAAACCTGAAAAATTAACTGCTGCTGTTTTCTTTGGCAAATTCTGTTGTGTATCCTGTGGAGTAGCCTGCTGCTCCCTTCCCCTTTTCCCCACCTGTGACACTCACCTAGAGCATGTATGGATGTGCCATAAGTATGTGTGCTGGGAAAAGGGGCGAGGGGGAAGGATTTTTTGTAGCTTTCTAGGCTGAAGAAGAGGACCAAGCAGAAGAACCCTGGTGCACAGGGCATAGATTCCTAGGATGGGAAACTAGCCTTTGATGTTCCAAGAGACTGTTGCTAGGACATTGGGAAGGAGGGACAGAAGAAAGAGAAGACCAGAGGGCCTTCAGGAAGTCATGAAGGAGAGAATGAGTTCAGTATGGGCAGGAATATTTGTGAAAGGTTTTTTGGTAGGAATTCGGTTTTGAAAGCTGAACAGGATGTAGATTGGGGGTGGGAGGCACAGTTTACCATCTTCTCCCATAGAGAGAAGTCCTTCTAAGGTAGGATGTAACCCAAACCTTTACCTCTGGCTTCTCTAGCACTGAGTCCTGCACCTACCAGATGTTCCATAATTAGTTGCTGCTGGTGATAAATGCACATGGTAGGTGGGGTGGAGAACAGAACTCTGTGTCTGTTTCTTGGCTTGTTAAAAAGGGCAGTGCCTCAGCTAGCTGGCCACAAGACCCCCTCTCCATCCTGTCCCACAGACCATGCCCCTCCAACACTGATACTGGGGACTTGTCAGATGGCAGTGAGGGGATCTATTGCTGTCTCCCCATCACCTCCATCCACAAGGATTTGCACAAAGTACATGCTTAATAAATGTGTGGTCAACTAATGTTGGGTCTTTTAGAGAGTGAGGCTTTATGTATGTTACATTTATGATTATAGACATGAAATCTGGTGTACATGCGTGACTGTACAAGTGGTTACCATGTTGGTTTGAATGAATATGGGCTGCACCCCTGAAGTGAGATCTTTGAAAGGTAAACATTATAGATAAATCTAGTAAAAATCTATTTACAAAATATAGTGCTAGCTAATACAATACTCTTTAAGGTGCTCTACTTTGCATATGTTATCTCATTTGGTGGGTGCTATTATCCCCATTTGACAGATGAGGAAACTGAGGCTCAGAGAGGTAAGCCCAGGCTCATACAGCTAGTGTCAGAAGCAGTGTTCAAATCTAAGTTCCCTTGACTCCGCTCTTCCACTCTGTGCCACTCCACAGATAATTCTTTTCAGTCATGTGCAACTCTTGGCAAAGACATTGGAGTCGTTTGCCATTTCCTTCAGCTCATTTTACCGAGGAGGAAACTGAGGCAAACAGGGTTTAGTGACTTGCCTAGGGTCACACTGCTAGTGTCTGAGGTTGGATTTGAACTCAGGTTCTGGTGGACTCCTGCCCTATCCACTATGCCACCTAGCGGCCCAATAAATACTTACAGATACACAAACATTAGCTATAGGTTCTTCTTTTTCTTCTTAACCTTTTCTTAAACTTCTGAGAAAGATTTTATTCATTTCTACTATGATTGTTCTGTCTTCACTGATCCCTCTAGCTGTTAATGCTCTTTCCTCACTCAGATTATGTTGTATTACATGTTGTATTCTCTCCGGGAGGATGTAAGCTCCATGAAGGTAAGGTCTGATTTTTCTCTCCTCTTTCTATTCACAGTACTTGACACAGTGTTCTTGCATGTCAATGCTTTAAACACACTTGTTGGATTGGATTCATTGAGATGGTTTTACTAAGAGCCTCCACACAGGTTTTGCACAAGACAGATTTGGGGTGGGATGGGAGGAATGCAGCCTTTATTCAGACCAATGAAAGATGTTGTAAGCATGTGACGACACACAGTTGTGACTAAAAATGTGCTTCATTTGGAGTGTGGCCCTAGGACACACGTTTGCTGAGCACCTACGCTGTGCACAGCACCGTGGGAGATCCAGAGATGGCTACGGCAGTTCCTGCTCTAAGGGAACCCCTTGTTCTAATGGGGTACTCGGTGGACTGGAGGCAGCGTGACAGATAAGTACCTGGGTCGTCCAGAGGGTACACCTTTGTCTTCCCCTACTGGGTTTTAGCCTGATGCTCTTCACATAAAAGATGCCCAGGAAATGCGGAATGAATGAACAATCTGTAAATCCTCCAAGGGCCCTTCAGCTCAAGATCCTAGGACTTCTGAGTTTCCATCGCGCGCCTGTGTGTGTGTGTGTGTGTGTGTGTGTGTGTGTGTGTGTGTGTGTGTGTGTCGCGCTGGAGGAGATGGGGAGGGAATAGAGAAGAGGAGAGCAGAGAGGAGGAGCGTCTGTGTGGATGTGTGCGTATCTGGAACCAGGAGAGGAGTGGGCTGTATGGCTCTGGGAGCGAGTGGGGGAGAGGAGAGAGGGGTGGGACGTGCGTATGCGCGGGCCGCGCGCGCGCGCGCGCGCGTGTGTGTGTGTGTGTGTGTGTGTGTGTGTGTGTGTGTGTGTGTGTGTGTGTGTGTGTCCAGGAGAGAAGAGGAGAGGGAGGGGGAAGGGGAGTGGTGGCTTGTGCGCCTGCCACGGCGGTGGCTCCGTGACGCGCTGGCCCCTGTGTGCGGCAGCGGCGGCACTAGCTGGGGCCGGGGACGGGCCAGCAGTGAGGTGGCGGCGGCGGCGGCGGCAGTGGCCAGAGCGGACAGCGGAGAGCGGAGCGGAGCCGGGGCTGGGCCTGGGGCCGGGGCCAGGGCCGCAGCGCCGGGTCCGCGGAGCAGCCGCCCCCCCGCCCGGGCAGCTCTATGGACAGGAGCTCCCTGCTGCAGCTCATCCAGGAGCAGGTGCGGAGGGCGCGGGCGCGGGCGCGGGCGCGGGCGCTGGCCGGGGCTGGTCTGCACGGACCGCACTCCCTATCTCCACTATCACCGCAAGCCCCCTACCCTCCCTTCTCCCTCCACCCCCCTCCCATGCATGTAGAAAAGACGTAGGTACCGCCTGCAGCTGCGGCCAGGGGCTGGAACTTGGCCGGCCCGGAGAATTGCACCAAACCGCGGGGCGGGCACCCGAAGGTGCGTCTCGTAGTCTCCCCACTGGGGCTGCCCTCCTTCCTTTCCCAGGGATTCCGGCCAGGCTGGGTTGGCGCCCAAGCACTCCGACCAGGGTGCAAGTCTTCCCTTGGCGCAGGATTCCCCAGGGAACCTGAGCGCTTAGGGGCGGGCTGCCTGAGCCACGCTTTGCCACACCCCTGTGCCTGCCTCCTTCTCGACCGGACACCCCCTACCCAACCCTAGGACACCCTGACCTCCAAGGCCCCCAGCTGACCTGTGAGCTCGGCTCCGGCACTGACATTGGCAGGACCCCCTGGGGCTGAAAATTAGGAGAAAGAGGGAATTCCCCATCCCAGTTCTGGGGATGCTCTCCAGACCTCAAACAGGACTAATGGCCTGTCAGAGTCAGTGATGGTATGGTTGGGGAGCCAGGTGCAAAGGGCTTTCCTTTTCCATTCCTGCTCTCCGCCTCCACCTTGCAGTCACCTGTCTAGCTGTTCTGCCCCCTAAACTGGAAGCATTGTCTGGCCG